AAATATTTCCAATAATTCTCACGCCGTATATATGGGGTGCCTGGGGGGAATGACAATGGTTTAGAGTAAATATCATTGGGCTGTGAAATCTATCAATTCTGATTGTTATTTAAATACATAAAACTTACTTTCTGGAATATTTAGGAAACATTCAATTTCTTGCGTCACTGGATTTGAAATAATAACGAATGCCATTAATAGATGTGATGTAATCAAGATGTTGATTGTGTACGAAATCCATCCAGGGGACAAAGCAGATAATACGTTAGGTTTCATGTCGTTGCCAAACACGAAATATCCGGCAGCTCCAGCAGGGAAATAGAGAAAGATTACACCTGAGGATTTTAAGAAATTAAAAAAAAAATTGACATTGACGACGGTTCTGAGCTCCAGAAATCGTGAATTTTGCACTTAAAACTGAATTGTTAATGGAGAAATTTACAATTTCATACCCATTTCTTTTTATTGACAACAAAAATATGGAACACGTTATTTGCGAAATATATCTTGATTTGACATGCGTTATTCTTATTTGATAAAATCAGTGTCGCTTCAAATGACACATAAAATCCACTAGCAACACTACGTGCTTAGTTATTGGGCACTAAATGTACTTTTGAGACGTTTTTGGGTACAAATGGACCAAAACGAATGAACGAATTAATTCCATTAAAGATGGTTGAAACGCTAGCAGCATATTGTACGTTTTGAATATTTTTGAAATTCCTATTGGGTCGGACTCGATATTTCATCAAAAAATTTCGTTTTATTTTAATTTGAAGTGAACGCTTTTTATTTCACCATACCCACTTTATAATATGTTTGAACGGATCCGTCATTACCGGTCCGCCAATTTCCACGGTGAAACGCTCCTAACGAAATTTGAGCTATGCTCTTTTGCTACGATTTCAATGCTATAAGTTTAACATCTGGAACAAGCGTAGGGCTGAAGAGCATCATTTAGCGGAGTATATGATTTAGTTACCTACTTACCAATTATTCCCAAAACAACTGCTGTATTAAATTTATTTGGATTTTTCATATCAACTTGTATTGTAGGAAAGCAACTAGCTCCACCAAACGCATAAACGATAACTCCGAATGAATTGAAAAACGACGAGGCTGTTGGTTCTGGTCTGTATGAATCAACATGTTCGGGTGCATCCTGAAATGCATCAGATAGATAAAACTTATTTTGATACATTTGCAAAAATAAAGTAAAACACATCCAAAAAAAGTTGAGGCGACGAATCTGCGAATGAACAAAACTTGAAAATAAGTTTAAAATGCATTACACGTGTTCACCCACCAAAAGAGAAGGAAAACAAGTCACAAACAAACCTAAACAAATAGACATGAATATCGGCGACGGTCGTTACTCAGGCATCTCACTTTGTAATAGGTTAGTATTTCGGCATTTTGATATTTTTCTTTCATATTAAAACATCAGTAAGGATTTGGGCCAACAAACTCCTATAAAAGATGGGATAATAAAAATCGAGTTTCTCTGAAAATGCAGTGTTTTTATAATTAAGTACAACGTATTGGTTTTTAATTATACTTGTTAAAAGGCGCTGATAATAATACGAGAAGGTTTTAAGAATGAATCTAATTTCAAAAATAATTTATTTCAGACCGGATTTAAATATTCATCATGTGCTAAATGATGAAGTTCACCTGAACTATTCCAGCTACGATTAACAAAGCTCCTATTGTGGTTGTTGCAGCAGCAATTAGACCTGCATACCAGAAATCTTTCGGAGTTCCAATCCAAGAAAGTGGAGTAAGTATGCAGAATACTATCATCATCATGTAGCAAGGATAAAATTGAATTCCACCCATAGACTGCAGAAGATTTGTTGTGTTGTCGGAAATCAAAAGAAGAAAAACTGTACCTGATATGAAAGATATAAAATCTAGCTATAGCTGTCACACATAACAGTAACTGTTGTTCTGACTACAAGTTGGTTGTGATCTACAATAAGATGGAAATAGCGTATATTAGAAGTTACTTGAGCCCGTGGTTACTATTATCCTGCTGTAGTATTAGATATTTATTATATTTTTTCTAACGCTAATAAAGCCGAGAGGAAGTCTTAATTATATGAAGAACCATATGGTTTCTCGTTCGGTCACTGATCCAATTTGGGTATGGAAAATAGATAACAAAATGTAGAAGTTATTACAGATTGAATGCAACTTAACGTAGTTTATTTAAAAAAGCCACAACAGTTCCCGATACGATTAGTGATTTAAACCGTTATATATGTGGCAAACCTTTTAAACAGCAGTGCGATTACAGGATTATAGCCCTACTACGTTTAGGTCACAACTTTTTGAAGCAATATATTTTTCTGTTGGTTTTATCTTACCTCCTCCGAATAGAGAGCCATATAGGCAAACTCTTGTTGCATATTCTCCAACTTTTCCTGCTGCCCGAAACGCATTTGTTGGATAGGGGTCGGTAACTCTATTTGCCTCATATTCAGGATATCTTTCTCGCAGTATAATCCAACACTTTCCCAGAAGAGTTCCGGTGAATGCTGATACGAGACCGCATACCACAAGCAAAGGCATTGCTGACAATAAAACAATAGTTCATGTTAGAAAATATTTTAAAACAGCAATTGAAACTTGGTCGTCATATATGCAAGCAAACTTATATATAACGTGAGTTTCTGTATGTAACAAACCGGACATGAAATAATCCGGTTTTAAACAAAAATTGACTCCATTTGAGTTGCCCAAGATATCATCATATCAACGGCATGTCGTATAAACACACACAAAAAAACTTTAGATTTATGAAACAACAAACAAAGCCCTAACACCAAAATTATAAAAACATGAAGATACAGTTAAGTCGAAAGTTTTTACAAAACATAGATATTTTATTGTCAAGTATGACACCGCTTTTATCCAATAAGTTTGTCAATATTTGCTGCGATGGACGATGAAGCAATTCATAGCGAATTTTTCATATGACTGTTAGAAATTAGTGATTTCACGGGGGATTTGAATTGGTTCATCAGCGAAAAAACTTGCTCCTACAAGTAGCCTAAATGCTGTCAAATATTGAGATCATAAAAACCGCCTCTTCTAGCTTCAAAGAAAAAGACAGAAAACAGATTGAAATGGTGAACGTACATTTGAACTCATGTACATTTGAACCCATGCGTATATCCACGGGTTCAATATATATGCGGGTGCTAAAACCCATGGGTTAGGGTTAGTATGGGTTTAACTATCCGTGAAACAAAAAAAATTCCATATGTGCAATAGCATACAGGTGCAATTGTCATGGGTTCAAATGTACGTGGGTTCAAATGTAATGGAACCGATTGAAATACCTGGCACACGATAAAAATAAATTCAAACATCCCTCTCCAGCAATAACGCTTACAATGGGACTTGAATAAGCTTCCGATAGCTGAGTGGGGCTTCTCGCACGTTTGAATGACAAGGACAAGGCCCGCGGGTTGGACGACCCTGATGTAATCCAACAAGACTCAGTTTATGTATAGCCATGATACAGTAGCAAATTGTTCTTTGTTCATTATGACCGAGAGTGCACTTGAATCACATGAAATGCTGACAGACGAAATATGCTGAGTATAATATTTGCCATGGAGTCATTTCATTGAAATCCTAAACTAAACTACTAGTAATTAATTGCTATGAATGTCAACTGTTTGTATGATTCATATGATATCACAATTTTACTTTCTTGTATTTCAATACCTTATTGAAGTTAACTTCAGAATTAGACATAAGGTGAGGCTTGTTTTTTTCAGCCCCCCCCCCTCCCATCCCCGCTCCACATATAAAGGTTGTGCTTCGTACTAAGAAGGTAGATGAATACAACAATAGTGGAGATATGAGAAAAAAATGATACCTATTGCTGTTTTTAAAGGCGTGTACAAATAAATAAAATTAAAAAAATACTTAAATTAGGTTAAAACCAAAAAAAGGTTTTAAAGATATGCCGGTAGAAATAGTACCATGTCGCACCGAAGTTCTGCAATTTTGCAGCTGATGAAAATTAATCTTTTTAATTTAAATAGCGTAAACGCGGCAAATACTTTGATAAATTGGCAATACAACCACTTACGTATAACCTAGAATTTAGTCACGTGCTATTGATTACAAGAAAGATAGAAGAGTTTTCCATGATTGCGTGAACTATAATTAGAATTAGTTTTTCATGTGATAGTCACAGAGAACTGAATAACATTGACACAGTGGAAATTATATACAAATTGTATATACGGTTGAAGTTATTTCTCATCTGTATGGCAACGAATTCATGATTAGTATATACAATAGTAAGACAAGGCAATTAATTGGTCACAACTTGAGTGAATCATTGAGATTGAAATAAAGACATAAAATTAAATCTATATTAAATCTAAATAATATTAACCTATCCATCCTCCATCTACAATAGCTTGTGGTATTGCCAATACTCCACTTCCGCATAATGTACCAATGATAAATACAGCAGCCATACCAATCCCATAGCGTTTGTCGACCTAAAATATATTCAATTCACAAAAAGAAAAGGTGGCATTATGGTCGACTTCATGAAAATGACATCCGTACTTAAGTCAGCACGCAAAAGTTTTGCTCTGTTTTTGTTTTTAATAACCCTCTTTTGATTGCCTCCTATTCGATGACTGTTCTAGCTTATTGTGTCCTTGGCAGTGCTGTACTTTTTCAAATCTCTTCATAACAGATATCTGCTGCAGTAGATAGTGCACAATGGGAACTTGGTTCGTTTTAGGTCTATTGCGAATTTCCCACCAGTGATATTGTCACTTTCTTTCCGCTTGCACTGAATAGATTTGCTTACGATATTTTATTTGTCAAATATGACTGTTCGACATGCTTTCTAATTATACAGATCCAAAAATCCGTTATCAACTTCGAAACATCGTAAATTCTGTGAACTATAAAACTGAAAAACTCAGTATATACGTTACAATATCAATGGACTTCAAGTCAAATAACCCTACTTTTTTTTAAATAGTGGGTTGGAAATATCTGACATCTGCAGAGACCTTGTTACGTCTTTCGCATTGGACAGCTATAAACACTTTTTCACGAAAAACTTCAAAAATTTGCAAAAACTCGTTGCAACTTTATTGCCTCGTTCAGTGCTGCTGACAGGGTGAGCACTTGTGATTTTGATAACATAAAACATAGTCTCTCATACGTTATCACAAAAACGTGTTTTGAATTTATAATAATAGTTATTAGGGTAAAAGAAATACAATGTTAAATATTATATTAGTATTGCAGTCAAGTTCAAATATTCAACGTTTAAAATATAAAATTGCGGACCTCCAGAAGTATGCACACCAAGATGGCGCACAACCTGAACATAGTAGGTGCGTACCGGTTAGGATTCAGGTTGTGCGACATCTTGGTGCGTATACTTCTAGAGCACCAAAATTTCAATGCTTATATGTTTTGCTTGTTCAGCTTCTTGCATCTCTACAACCCAACGCTTACATTGACGTAGCAAGGAACTGTAAAACCGGAATCTCCGTTAACGAGAGAAGCAAATGAAAAGTAAGTGGAAGAAACACCTCCAACTATACCAATCAGTATGATCTCTATTAAAATAACTTTAATATGCAACTCTAAATCAACTTGCATCCAACTTGGCTGTGCAGGATCTTCTTCTCTCGATTGAACGTGAGGTTGAGGGTGCAGTGATGTTGAATCCGAGGTGGTTTCTATTGAAGACTGTATGTATGATGGAAGAGGACCATGAGCGGCAGAAGGAGTTCTTTGTCTCGACAACAAAAGGTAGAACAGAGGCGGAAAAATAAAATTGGTTAAAGCTATTGTTGAACCTCCCAACAACGACAAAATAATGTCAAAGTGGGGAACGGTGAGACCAACAAACATTGCCATTCCAGACAACGACGTTCGAACCAGTATTCTCTTGACGCCAAATTCTGTGAAAAGTAATCATGGAATGAGATCAGATTAGTTTATTTTGTAACAATATTCATAATATTGATAAGAGTTTAAGACTTTCTACAATGCCTAATTTGTATCATGGCTCTACAATCTAACATATTAAACAAAAATATATGAAAAGTATAAATAAAAACGAACAAAATAATGAAAATAATGATGTCAGTTACTGACTATTATTTTATGTTTGGTTTAAATCAATTGCTCATAATCTCACAGACATTTTTTCCAAATAAAATAACTGGGACCAATCGAATAGTAAATGTTGAGTTACCACCAAAATCATTAAAGTTAAAAATAGTATAATATAGGTCTTCTGACCACTTATATATTATTATGAAGTGAGGGATTTGAATATTAGGTAATTCATTTTTAATATATCGAAATTCTGTAGTTGCACATAACATATATTAATGTTTACTTTATTTTGATGCAAAACCTGAACAAAGATGAGTCATGTTTTCAGAAAAAGATTTGAGCTTTTCGTATTTTTTTGCAAGAATTTCAACTATTCTCCGCGTATGTTCATTAGACAACTTACTGTCTGGTATCTTAAAAAATCCTTCAATTTCTTGACTGACAGGATTGCTTACGATAAGAAACGCCATAAGAAGATGTGATGTAACAAGAATGTTAACAGTATAAGACATCCATCCAGGAGGCAATGCATCGAGAACATTTGGTTCCATGTCATCACCAAGAACAAAAAATCCAGTGAGTCCCACAAGAAGATAAACTGCCAGAACGGCTGAAATTATTGATAAAAAATATATATAATGAGTGACTACAGGTGATTAAAGGAGAACTTTTGGATAGTAATGGTTTCATTGGCTTGGAGTCTGTATGTCACAAAGTATATATATTTTATTACTCAATTAGTTTGTAGCCTAATTAATTTACTGCGAGTAATTCAAATTCTATTACGCACAAACCACTACCAATAATTGAACCAGTATCTTTATTTATCTAACAGTTGGGGTTACGTGAAACTAACTACTTTTCCTTGCTCTATGCCTTTGCGCAGGTGGATCCGTATGCGCATACCGTAAGGGGACTGTAGCAAGAGTGTAAATGAATATTCTATTTAATTCGAGACCCTTAAACTAAATAGAATAATCTTTATTTGGTACTCCTGAAGTATGCGCACCAAGATGTCGCACAACCTGAACCCTAACCTGGTACACAACCTGAGTTCAGGTTGTGCGCCATCTTGGTGCGCATACTTCAGGAGGTCCCTTTATTTATATTTGCATTAGCGAGTATATCTTTGATTCGTTTATTTTTGAATACATCATCCCCAACTTCGTTCTATACCAGCGTTTCCCAACCTTTTTTGGTCGCGGACTATTTTCTCACCGGCGAAACCCTTTGCGGACTCAAGGTGCGTTTATTACAACCGTATACTCTGTGTGAACAGGCAATAAAACCGAACACAACAGAATTTTAACGAATTTCAACAATGGCCTTTTCTGTCGCACAAAATTCAACCATGGCAACGACGAGAATTTAAGATGTATTCCTATTTTAACTTAATTGTGTTCATGATAATTCGCGGTTGCGTCGAATTATAACAAGATGAAAGCATTACTTCGCTAAAATACAATGGCAATCGGTGAACATAATAATGTGAGAATATATTGTTCGATTATACTTAGTTTTGATACATATTTTTTGCGATCTTGCTAATTTGTTATCGCCGTTAGAAAAATCTTACTGTCTGCTATAAATTTTTAGAAAGTGCAACTTGATTTAGTACTCATTAAAAATATATTTAAAGTATATATATTAGTAAATCAAAAATACATATTCATCGCCATGGTTTATTATTAATTTTATTGTGATCATTTTAATCTGCGGTTGTGTTGACGAAATAAAAGCGATACTACTCACGACACAAAAATGCGTGGTAAAGTGCTCGATTATATTTTGTTTTGATTCGTATTTTTGTGAATTCGTCAAATCTGAGCTGTTCGTACAACGCCTACGGCAGTACTGTACGTGTACCAATGTGGCGGCAGTAAAGCAAAGAATCCTAAGGGGAAATGTCCTGGTACGGTAGCATCCAAAATTTTGCGATTTGCAATGTCGAAAAAGCGTTTTTAATCGGTCGCGGACCATCATAAAACAAAACTTATGGTGTTCTTCGTTTTATTTTTAGTATTTTGTATTGCCGCTTTTCCATTTAGAAAATTTGGGTAGCCACCATTGACACCAACCAGATGAGAAAAAAAATTATTCCTCGTTGTGAGAACTCGCGAGAAACACCACTTAGGTATTTATCGAAGCGTGTGGAGATTTGTGTTTTCGTCGGAAATCCGCAAGTGAGTTGTGAAACCCGGTTCCATTACATTTAAACCCACGTACATTTGAACCCACGACAACTGCACCTGCATACTATCGCACCTATGGAAATTTTTTGTTTTGTTTTACGGATATTTGAACCCATACTAACCCTAACCCATGGGTTTTAGCACCCGCATATAGATTGAACCCGTGGATATACACCTGGGTTCAAATGTACGTGGGTTCAAGTGCACGGTCACCGTGAAATCCAATCGTCTGATTGAGCGCAAGTGACCTATCGCGTCACCTGTTACCAAATTTTCGAATAGTAAATTGCTATTCCAATAGTTGAATATTCGAATATATGCCCAGATATACTCAGTAACCAGTAATTATTGACTCAATAAATGTGATGTTACTAAACTTGCTTTTTAATGTTTTATGTAAATTCTAACGTAAATCGCAACGTGGCTGAATTTCTGGCTCGTTGCGGAATCATTCAAACGCTCCGCGGACTCATTTGAGACCGCGGGCTCGGGTTGGGAAACACTGTTCTATACGTTCAGTGGGTTGAATTGAAATTTTCGATACCAGTTTAACAAGAAAGAAAAAAAATAGAAAAAAAAGCACAAGTTTCAGTAAAACACGATGATAACAAATTTAACTTCGAGGGCAGATCAAAAGGTCATTGCTCCAAGTATACGTGTACTTTATTGGGCCACGCGTCGATTATAGCTAAACTAGACTATATATATCAAGATTTGCTTCATTGTTATTAGATCAATGTGCCAGATAGTTTGTTTAAAAGAAGTGTAATTCGTAGAATATTTTTAGTTGGTTAGTTTTTTAGAAGTTCCGAAAAACAGCTCAACTCTTATTTACATTCATTTAAACTAACTATACAATTTCTTTGACTCGTGCTTACTTGATATTCCAATTACAACAGATACGGGAAATTTATTTGGTTGTTTCATGTCGACTTGGATAGTTGGAAAACAACTTGCTCCTCCAAATGAGAATAATATCGTACCGAATGCACTAAAGAATAAAGACCACTGCGTTGCTGCATGCTGTGGATTCGGATGGTCTGGAATAGCCTTATGAAAAATTAAAAACAATTGTCAGAAAAATGCTGTTTTATGATACAAATTGAAAAATTTATACTTACAGTCATCAAACTTCCAAATACAAAAAATGATGCTATCACACTCGTACATGCAGCCACTACTCCTGCTTGCCAAAAATCTTTTGGAGTTCCTAGCCACGTGAAAGGAGTAAGAACTCCAGTAACAATAAGTAATAAATAACAAAGAGAAAACTGTTTATCGCCAAGGTTAGCAATCAGATTTGAAATATTGCCCGCTATCAACAGAAGGAACACTGTGGCTGAAATACAAATACATAATATTACTTCATACTGTATGCATTAATATCGAATATTACTCGTCAAAATTCGCAAAAAATGTTATTCAATACCGATTTGCAAATAAACTAGTTGCTTTGACAGACTTGCATGGGTGATATAAGTAATAAAATAGGCACAAGTGGTAATAATATTCTCACCGCAAAAAGAATCTAAGATATGCCGGAATGTTGCAAAATATTTTAATATTTACTCTTTTTTTTGTATTTGTTTAAATTGTCGTTCATTAATTGTTATTTCATATATTCTAATAGTCAATTTCTCATGATTGCTCAAAAGTGTTATTATCATTTAAAGCCGCCTATGTTTATTCTAATACTACTCAAAAGAGGATTCATGATACATATATCTTAGTTTTATGTCTAAATGCAAGTATCCAGACAATTGCAGTATACGTGCACAAAAAAATGTGCCACTTTAATTCCGGTCATTCGTCTCATTTTTACTTTACCTCCTCCAAATAACGTAACATCAATGCAAACTCTTGTAGCAATTTCGGCAACTTTTCCTCCTGCTCTATGAGCTATGGTTGGATACGGATCAGTAATTCTCTCGTGTTCATATTCGGGATATCGAGCACGAAGTAATGTCCAACATCTCCCGAGGATGCTGCCGGTATATGAAGAAATAAGTCCACAGGCAACGAGAACGATAGGACCTGTTGGAACAGGAATCAGTCAAAACGGAAAAATATTAGTATGAAAGCAACTTCAGTAGGTAATTAAAACGTTTCATAATGGGTCCAACTTTACTGAACATTTCTGGAGATTTTGAGTTTGCGTCTAGACATGAGAACGGTGAAATTAAAGTTTCGTTTCTAAATAACTCTTCAATTCTACTTACCTATATACCCGATGTTAACGATAGCCTGTGGGACAGCCAATACTCCACTCCCACATATTGCTCCAACAATGAACACTGAAGCTGTCACTACACCAAGACCCTTTCTTTGTGGTTGATTCTATGTGAGAAAAAAAATAAAATTGAATGATTTTTGCATAACTGCAATGCATTCGTTCATCATCCATATATGTTATCGATGACTCACCCACCACAACGATAAAGAATACAGAATTTTCGAAACTTAAGCGACACTGTACTGTTGAACACCTGTTGTGGCTTGCTGAAGGTTCTATTATGAGAACATCAAAGCGATAAATTTTAAACGGCCGAAGATACACACAGCGCAATTTTACAACAAACACGGGGAAATTTTTTCAACATACCTCTTCTCCCTGTATTGAGAATGTAGAACTTTGTGGAGACGATCCTGTTTTTTCAGACATATTTGCCTATTCTCTAGCACAGAAATTGTGTTACAGAACATTCATTTCACTTCTACCAATTCAACAAGTTTATTGTAAACTTAATATTATATTTCATTAATTTTCTTCTGAATAAGACATGCATAATAACCCGATAAGATAAGATTATTTTCCTCATATATTCCTAATTTCGTACACACCCAGATTAGGTAATGTTATTATAGGCTTCCACTAGACAAACCATGATTGTAATCTGGAATAGCAATAAATATGTCCTTGTAACCTGTACCGCAAAACATAGTTATAGCAAAATAGTAGAAACCATTGTATGACCTCAAAGGAAACCGACTTTTAATTAACATCAATACTCTATTAATTGAGTATTTTGTATAAGCTACAACAATTTCATTCTATATTAAAAAAAATTTCTCTAAATTCATTATATTTCCAAACTATATGAAATTAAATGCCAGTATCGATATGGTCTAAAAAATACATATATTTCTTCATTGAAATCTGAAACCGATCGAAAATTCAGAAGTAGTGTCATTACTAGTAGTCAAACACGTGACATATATCATATTTTATCTACGCTCTCAACTGTATATTTCTCCATACTGTTAAAATATTTGTTTTCTCATGAACTCAAAATGCCTGCATTTTATTGAACTTATAAACATCTTGAGAGGTTGCAACTTCAAAAGTTTTCATTAACGCTGGCTAATATCTCGCTTTGCGGGCTTCATTATTAATTAAATGATATATTTAATGAAAAGAACTGTCTAAATACGTTACGAAGTCATCCGTAATCAATAAGTTCAGATTTGAAACTGAACACGTACGCACACAGTCGTGTATACCTGTTACGGCATATTGAATAGATAGCTTGCCTATAAGATAATTTTCCTATTTAAATCTGCAAGAGATGTTATAAAATGGCAATATATTACAATCAAAATTATTTTTTCATTCGAAGAAAGGCAAAGTGTCTCTAATTATCTTTCAATATCATTTTTCAGTATGTCCTTGAATGCGTCTTTCAACTTATACCATGCCTATAGTTTGACCTATCAGGTTATACGCTTGTCTGAAATTGTCTGGAAATATTCTCAAACAATACTGACCACTGCAAATGCAACATATATCAAAATCAAACAGACTATTTCTGACAGCTAAAGTTGTAGTAAACAGGCACATATCAACTCTTAAATTTCCAGTCACATGATTTTTCAGGTGACCTATACTATGAACCTATACTATTGCGAAACTTATGAAATTGCTACACTGTGCGTGTTTTTATCGTATGGGAATAAAATTGTTATAATAAATACATATGAGTCAAGAATGAGACTTGAAGTATCTGAATCTTATTTTTTGTATATTATTCAAAAAGCACACAAATATTATGTTTTAAATTACTAAAAACTTTTAGTAGAATTTTTTATTTTTGTAATAGCACAAATTGTTGAATATTAATAGAATGTTTCGCGCATGCAATAAATTGGACACCAATAATGCAACTCCGGTGCATACTTGCATGTATTGTTTGAACAATATTGAACGAACAATTTACACAATTACACTTTTAAAAAAGTAGTAAAATCCCTCACAATTCGATTTCGGGGTTATAATCAGGCGCAATGATTTTTTAAAGTGTTCACACACTCAGAAGGCGTTATGTAAGGTGTTGTTGGTTTTCGAATTTTCGTTGTTCAGCATATCTTACCAACTTTCGTCACTCCATTTAAGGGGCTTGGGTAAGCGATGGCCTGGTTGGCTAAGGCACAAGTACGAGATTACTTAACCTTCCGTATCAACGTAGTTTGACCAAAACGGAGGCATCGCCACTTAAATTTTAAACCAATTGAGTGAAATATGCATAATGTTGCATTTAGGCTACATTACGTTACTCATAAAAGCGTACAAAATTGCATAACAATATGAAGACTTTAAACTGCTTTCAACTTCTTTAAGAATCGATATATTTTGTCTCCACCAACATTTTAAACCTAATTGGGCGGAAGAAGCAGGACATTTTTCGTTTACACTTCAGTCGGACACTCATAATAATATACGAATACGAAATTGCATGATAATATAAATACTTTTGATTGCTTTCAACTCCTATTAGAATCTGGATATGTCGCCAATTTACTGTAAATTAAACCTCGCCTAAATTTGTATTTGAGCATGTAAAATTAGTAATATTTAGAATTTCAGGATCAAAGTCAATTTATGGCCTGGAGAACGTGAAATAACACGTAACTTATTCTTCCTATCGAGATGGAAATAAGTTGATCAGAACTGAAATATACAAATTTTGTTTCCTAAATTCATTGTTTCAGAATAAATATTGTGCGAGATTTGCCTTGGTTGGTTAGTTTTTTTGGCGCTCCAGAAGTATGTGTACCAATATGGAGGTAACTAACTTTGTTCGCCTATTTTACGTCAAATTGTGTGAAGGGACTTAAACCTATGGACAGAGGATATATTTATGTGGCTAACACAGACTGTTCCCGAACTCGTAATATAACTAAAACAATAAGAATTAGAATAAAAATATGGCCTAACCTGGTACACATACTTCCGGAGTACCGTTTTTTTATGCTTGCTAGAAACATTCATGGTCAGGCATGCAACTAGGACGTATTCGTAGTAACTGAGGCCATTTAAATCATAACGTGTCTATTTTTTTCATGTATTTTCATTTGATCGTATTCATATTATATATATACCATCAATAATAGAAGAAAAATATATTTCTTTGCCATCATAGGAATATAGCCTTCAGAATTATTATAACTGTATTCAGATGGAAGCGTGCCATATTTAATATCTCGGTTTCTTAATACGAAGATGTCCATTAATTTAGTAATTATTGGATAAGTCGATGTACTGATGTGAGGATACCTCGTGCGCCGGAACGATAGCGCGAGATGAAAAATAAAGGAGATGAAAACAACGTGAAATTTGGTAAAGTTGAAACTTACAGATAAAACTAGAAAAAAACGTATCATCTATGAACAAGATAATTATAAAGTATCAAAGGTTTAGTAAATATATATACACTGAATTTATCTTAGCGTGTAACCATTGAAAACTCTATAACGATTTATAGAGTCAATTTTAAACTACATGCGAGCGTTTTATACATATATAAACATTCATTATATTGAATTCAAATTGCTTCAATTGGCACAGTTACAAGTAATTCTTCCCAAAATACTATCTGAGTATATTTTTCGTTTTGCTTTGTACGAAAGTGGTGTAGGTGTTCAATCCGCAACGCGAAAAATATCTCTATTAATCAAAATGTACAAACAAGAGGACTTTTCTTATACCTTCGTTATGAAAATCGTTTCATTTAATAAAGAGGTCAGAGGTCGTCTTAATAGAAGTTATACTATTGCCTCTGTAGATAACTAACATTTCTTTTTAACCAACATTTCCATTTTTCTGTGTTTGCTGCATTTCAAATTACCAAAAACATAAATATGGTTAAATAGAATTTTTGTAATCATAAGCAGTGACAAAAACTGAACTGAAAATTTACATGACAGAAATAACACATATTTACTGTATTCCATTGAAGCGTAAAACATATCATTAAATTTCAAACAAAGTTCATAAAAATCGATTCATCGGGCAAAACATTTGGTGCAAACAAAAACGGTTGAACGAGTCTGCTTTTAAGCATTACTGTTCAAGTCTCTCATGAGAAATTACTATCACATGATGTAGCTGTCATAAGATATAGCCATAGATGATCATTCGCGCTAATGATAAATGTCATTGATTATTGTGCAATACATGTAAAGCTATTAATATTGCAGACTGTACAATTAGTGTGCAGTTGTAACTTCTGCTGCAGCTTGTTTAAATCAGAAAATTTTGAATTGTTAGTATTTTTATGGCTGAAGGGGGTTAGAAGAGGAAAATAAGTAACATTTGTCAGCTAGTGGTATAGGAACCGTAGAAATGTAGAACAATATGCCAGGTTGTTTTATAATAAAATAAAATAGTTTAAAAAAAATTTCCATTCATTTAAAAATATTTTCCGTTGGATTATTATAAGATAACATTGAGTTATTTACACAAACGCTGAATTTTTCTGAGTTAACACTCTGCAGGACTCTTCCTCAGTTGCTCAATATTAGATTATACTAAAAATGTTACATATCTTACTTCTGTTATAGTGTTTGTATGTGTTGTCATTTCAAAAGACCGCATCAACATTCAAATGGTAGAATGAATAAATCACTTTTCCTTTCGATTTTAGAAAATGAAAAGGCTACATACGTACATTTAGGTAATTTTCGGTTTGTAAAGAATTTAATAGGTTTACAGTAGTTTTAGCCATTCGTAATTATCGCGAGAATGAAAATAGTAAAATGGAAAACGCGGATGTTACCATAACTCTTCAGTCTACAAGTTTTAGAGCAGTTGTATTTCATATAATATACAAGGAAATGTTCAAATTCTGGAGCCTGTTACAACTTGCACAACTACAAATTTCAATTTACATACATCTTGAACTTTCACTCTTATCTTTGAATAATACCAATTTCGTAACTGAATACGTTTATCTGACATAATAACCTCCCACACATCACTCACACAACATCACATGAGTTGAAAGTCTGTTTAGAACTATTATATCAGACATGTTGAAATGCGATCATAAATAGATCGTAAAATATTATTATTTTGTTTTTGAACGCCTACCTTATGAGTAACGATGACTCCTACTTCTTTCTGTAAAAAAAACCTTCATGAACATATTTAAGAACGACATATAAACACGGCCCATATGTACCTATACATATTAAGTATATGAAAATATGACCGTATGGAAATCCCCATTATTGTCTGCAAAATCGACATCATGACCAAACAGGCATGCACGCTTCGGGCACAATTTATATTTTCAACAAAAACCAAATTTTTGAAGATTTCAGCACATTTTACTCACTTTACTTCACCTGAACTCGGGTTGTGTACCAGGTTAGGGTTCAGGTTGTGCGACATCTTGGTGCGCATACTTCAGGAGTACTCAATTCACTTTATGAAAATCTAAGTAGTATGGATGTTTATATTCCATTATTTCAATATATTATGTAGACAGAGCATATATTTATTTTCAATTCAAACTTATTTTCATTTCTCGCTATTTGTAACTAATTAAATAACTTTCATTTATAACAAGTAGGTAATGAGAATACTAAACTATAGAAACTCTATTAGGTTAGGACCGTGAGCACATATTTCAAAACGTTATTTTTATCCTGTAAGCATATTTTCTTATCCATAATAAAATGAAAAGTATATCTGGAACAATAAGTTGCTATCCTGAGATAAAATCGACTTTTCCGTCACATTATAATTCTATTTGTAATATCTGATGCAATATGGCGCATTTGCGATGTGTCTGCGCAACTCAGTCTTACAAACAAAATTTACCGCACGCCATCGAAAACACTTCCAAAGTGAAAGTGTAAGCAGCTTGACTCAATTTCATTTCCTCATGAGAAATTGCCTAATAATGCTAAATATCAGTTATAGTCATGCTAAACAATTTAATATTGAAGAAGCAATTCTCAAACAAAGCGAAATTCATATTAGAAACTTGAGAAATAAGAAGTATTGCTTTTGCGCTTAAAACTGGTAATCAAAATGTTATCTAAAAATATTTAGATAGCAAACAATTTTAACGGAGGTAATTCTTTCATTTTGCGCACAAGATTTTTTCTTCTGTGGAAATATATTTTGATTCACGTGTTCGTTTGCAATGCTTTATCATTTTCAGAATTTTGAAATAAATGTCAAATATAATGCAAGATGAAGCTATTGCGCCGTTGCTGGAAATCGGAACAAAAGTAAAGGTAAGAATTGTTAGTGAGTAAAAAGATGAAGTTGATTTAAAAAAAAGTGAGACGATTTATGAATAACGCTCAAACGAGAATATCGGTTGGAAACCGAAGACTTATCGATCGATAGTTAGGGGATCCCCCAAAACAGAAACTGCAGTTTCGATTCATCCGCTCTTGTAACTTGCGCACTGCGCATCGCACACACACACTCGGCGGGTTTCAAAATTCTCTCGCTTTACAAAAATCTAGATCACTATATCAATAATTGATTGATAACTCGCTAATTATACGACATAATTCGCCCAAAATCAATAGGATTCTGGTCCGAGATAAGATGAATGCACATGCAAAATCTGGAGCAGATTCAATCCCGCTTTCGTGAGATATCGCGTGCATCTAACAGACACACACACACACAGACAGACATACATACAAATACCTATCAATATAGTTACCGATCTTAAGATCGATAAGTAATAATTTGGAAAATGAGCCAGTGCTGTCAATTGTGATTGTATACATCTAAGCAAGTAACTGATATTTGATAACAAGCAACTTGGCTTACTAAGTTGAGGAGTGAATGACGCTTAATCAAAACATAAATATAGAAATCAATCTTGTAAAAAGGCAATACAAAAATAAAAATAAAAGCATTGATTTATCTTATTATATTTGAAAGCTACTGACATGAAAAACACAATGTTTGTGAATACGGGTCCTTATCGCCCCAGTATTATTTTGCCCATTGCTACAGATAAATCGGTCCAACCGTTAAACCGTTAAACCGTTCAATGTGAACATATCATCTGAATACACGATGCAATTTACTGCATATTTAAATTTTTATTGCATTTCATTGTTCATTCCATAAGTTTAATTTCTCGCACATCACATGACAATGGGATTAATTTTGAGAGAATCAAAAGCGATACGTTGCATTCATCGAGTGATATTGAATGGGATACTCGTCGCGGCGTAGTTCGTTGAAAAAGAATTCGATATGCTAGCATTGCTTTATATGGCTCATGTTTTCCTGATGTCAGATATAATATAAATGAACATCGTCTGCACTAGTATACTTGAACACCTCAGGTTGTATATAGGCAGTGAAAATGAGTCATGTTTAAATGCAACACAACACATAATTAGTTTCTTCACGATCAAACCGCGACTTTAGTTATCGGCATAGTGATGAAATACCTCAACTTTAGTTATCAGCAAAGTCATGAAATGTGTGATTTTTGTCATCTCATTAGCTGGACAAATTTTCACATCTTGCTTAAATATTTGTTGGTGTTTGAAGATCTCCCTCTTTCTATATATGCATTAGTCACGGGTTATTTTATTCATCGGACGAGTTGGGGAAATTCATCAGAGATACGGATTAGTGTGTAAACAGATTCGATAAAGTTCAGGCGTGTATTGCATGATCGTCTGTTTGTTGAACCACCCAACGATAGGTGATGCTTTATTTGTAGTGACTTTTAAATACCAAAGCTTTGAGGAAAATTGTAAAATAAGGTAGTTTTGAAATAGACGGAGTAGAGATTTACTGTTGCACTGACAACCCTTTCATTTTAATAGCTACGGTTTCTACATCCAGTCCAGTTTATGTTTTACTGGTTAGGAGCCTTATTTTCATGCATGCTAAAATGCATAGGTGAGATGAATTTGTTTCAGTCCGATTGACAAAGTAATCTATTAGTGTGACGTGATGGCAAATATACAGTTTATTACATAAAATTGCGTAGGCACATAAAAGCGGTCAGCAAATGATAAGTCAGTTCAAGCATTAATTTATTATGTGGCTAATTTGATTAGTGCTTAGGTATTTTTTGGAAACTAAATCTGGGATTTGTAGTTTCAGTTAACATTATATTTTTAGCGGAAAACTTCCAGTTAGCCTGTCTGCTTAAAAGTATACAATACACCAGAAATTACATACTGGGTTATGTTATGAGTGAGAATCTTACTGATAAATATCTGTTGGTCACCTAAAACATCATCGACATGCAAGAAATATTACAACAGTCTGATATTGCTTACGAATCGTTATCACCAACTGTTTTACAAGCGGTAAGAATAATACTTATCACTAAAGTAAAACTTTGATATTGTTTGCATTTTGTGTGTGGGCTCTTGGACTACAGCCTAATGTATAGTATCTAGAAACATAATATAATACAAAAACCAACGATATTTAATACTATGCAAATAATTACAATTTTAATTGCAAAAGACAAGGAATATCAGTGTCCTTTTTTTATTCTGTCAGCGAGAGTCATCGATATGTTAATTAGGTATAGACTATTGCTAGTCACTTAAAATTATTGCTTCGTCTTTGCATTGTTCAACTTTTTTTTCTTTTATTTTTGATTACCAGCAAAACAAGGGTCTTGGTATTTTCACAGCAGCTGTTTTTATAGTTGGAACTATATGCGGAACAGGAGTGCAAACTATTCCACAAGCTATTGTATATTGCGGATACATTGGTGAGTGTGGCTCGTAGATAAATTGAGAGAATAACAGGTCATAGGTGATCATAGGCTTCAGTCCCTTTACACAACTTGATGTAATTTTGGCGAACAAAATTAGTTACTTCCATATTGGTACACACACTTCTGGAGCGCCAAACAATGGACCCAGACATTTCAATGTTTTTTTTATTCGAGGCTGTGCTTGCTACACACGGCTGTATCAATTTTTATGTGATAATTAGCAAGAAGCGATAAATAAATGACGAATTTTATCCATTTGCAGGGCCGGTTATTGTTGTAGCGTGTGGGGTGTTGTCATGTTATACTGGTACTCTGCTTGGGAGGTGCTGGACTATACTTCGGACACGATACCCAGAGTATGAGAGTGAAAGAATCACAGACCCGTATCCAACCATAGCTTATCGAGCTGGTGGAAAGGTTGCGGAAATTGCAACAAGAGTCTGCATTGACATCACATTATTTGGATCAGGTAAAGTTGAATTTTGACACAAATGTGCCCAAGACAACTATTTTTGTGTAATACTCAAATTTGTGTTTACGTGGGAAGAAATTAAAAATAAAAGAGTACTGCTAAAAATATATATTTACGAAGGTGTGCTGTATCACCCAGGCTGAGCAATTAGTTTGTTGTAAAGCGGGACGGATTAAAGTGTTCCCATATTTCACAAAATGCGTTTTCATGAATTGATATGAAACAGCAAACTTTTAGATGAAAGATCGGTCCCATAGGACTCAGGGGAAATTTGAAAAATAACTAAACAAAAAAATAGCTGTTTTAGTGGCTTCGACAATATATTTAAGCACTCAAAATTTGTTAAAAAGAGAGGCAATGTTTTTAAATTTTCCCAAATTAGTACGTCATCAGTACAATATACAAAATACCAGAGGTGTAATATATCCAAATGGTTTTTGTACAGATATATATAAATTACGCCGATGGCTATAATGACGCAGATTTTGCGGCCAAACTGCGATATCGTATATGCCGGTAGGTATTTACTGAGCTGTCTTCAATAGCATTTATAATTTCAACAACACGAATTTAGGAATAATTTGTGTACAATAGTAAATATGAAATTTTTTTACATCCAAACTTCTGGGGAGCTGACATAGCCGAATTTTAAGAAAGAAGTATTACTACCACATTCTTACTTGCTGCATTTTAATAAAATTTGTAATAAGATTTTGTCTCATATCAGTTTGGAATATAACAAATACATAAATAGCATTTTTCATAATATAAAACATGAAAAATTAGAGATATCGGAACAGTTTTAAATGATTCTAATACTAATATATAAACATTCAACCTAACAACATTAATTTTTACAGACACGGTCTTCATGTTGCTGATATCGGAAAACCTCTCAAACCTAATTACTAACCTCGGACATCATCAGTTTTCGATATGCTACCTCATGTTGATAATCACTGCAGTCATAACCCCACTTACTTGGTTTGGAACACCAAAAGATTTCTGGCAAGGCGGAATAATAGGAGCCGTCACTAGCATTGTGGCTTCGTTTTTCATATTAGGAAGTTTGATTACAGTAAGTAACAGCAATTGACGAATTTCCGATGCCACATTTCTCCTATTCTTACGTTTCGTGTTTGTTCCAGGCAATCCCTGATAATCCAAATCCTCAACATGCAGATCCTCAGTGGTCCTTATTCTTTAGCGCCCTGGGTACGATACTATATGCATACAGTGGGGCAAGCTGTTTCCCGACTATTCAAGTGGACATGAAAGAGCCCAACAAGTTTCCAGTTTCCGCTGTCTTGGGAATCATAAGTAAGAATTTGGAATATATATTCATATATATTAAAGATACAGCTTGTCCAAAGCTAAATGTCCTTATTTCATCGGAGTTATACTAATATAGTATTGTAAACAGAATTTGTAAAGATTTTGGACAACTAAGATCTATAAGTTTATTCCTGCGACACAGATGAAACAATTTGATTCGTGGAAACCGCTGTAGTGAAAACCTAAAGAGTAAAATTGATATCTATAGCCCTATATCTATAGATTTAATGAAGGACATTCTTATTTTAATTTTTTTTCAAATATCAAGAGGAGGTACAGTATCCCAATGGGGGGCACAAAAATACCAAAGCAGCAGCATGATTAAAACTTTGATAATACCGTTATCATTTTTTTCAGCCGTGATGCTGGTTTATCTTTTGGTCGGGATACCAGGATTTGTGATTCTTGGGGATGACATGGATGCAAACGTACTCAATGCTCTACCGGCTGGATGGATATTATACACCGTTAATATTTTAATCACATCTCATCTAATTTTTGCTTATCTCATCAACAATAATCCCGTTTGTCAAGAGATTGAAGGCTTTCTAAAGATACCGGACAGTATGTGATTTTTATGTTTTTACAGTTACTTATTTATTATTTAAAACAAAGTGTCGCGGCATTAATGCAAAAATTATAGAAAGAAAACAGAGACAAAATTGTACTAAGGTACCACGACAAATGTCCATATAACACTACTATATGTGTTCTCTTTCCTCTGTTTCCGTATTGAATCGACGTCGATATTGTTTTTCGCCAAGCTTATCAGTTTTATGACATAGGTACGAGAACAGAACTGTATGATATTGTAACACACCCTTCAAATTTTTTTCAGGGTTTGGTTGGAAGAGAATATTGGTTCGAACGCTTCTTGCATTAGCGGCAATGTTTATAGGTTTGACTGTTCCTCACTTCGATATAATACTGTCAATTTTGGGTGGATCGACTATTGCCTTGACAAATTTTATTTTCCCGCCTCTATTCTATCTCCTGCTGTCAAGACAGAGAACGCCCTCACAGGCGTACGGAGCTCTTCCATCATATATCCCAAACCCAAGAGATTACGCTTCTGATTCGAGCTCAATAGGGACTCATATACAAAGTAAAGAAGAAGATTGTCAACATCCTCGTTGGATGCAAATAAACCTGGAGCTGCATGTCAAAGTTCTTTTGATAGAAATTATTATGATTGGTGCATTTGGTGGAGCTTCGTCTACGTACTTTTCTTTTGCTTCTGTATTCAACGGTCAATCCGAGTTCACAGTTCCATGTTTTGTTAACATGAGCGTTGGAATCTAGATATTTTGAACTAGTTATATTCAACATCAACGACACGGATCGAAATGTACGTTTCTGTTGCTGGGCAGTCGCTGCGTCTGCATTCAGTGCAGTACTTTGAGTAATATGAAATTTCTATTAATAATATTATTTCTCAGTTTCATTTTTTGTTTTTATTTTAACCTTCTGACGACCGGGAACTTTCCAAGTTTCTGAGGTAATGCTTATTATTAGTATTATATTGACATTATTTCCATTTGTGCAACAATGATAATTGATACTCTTGATCCAGTAAACAATTGCATAATACAATTTTCAATGAATTCTACTTTTTAGCGCCCTCTGAATATCCGTCCATTTCAACAGAAAGTTGGGTCAAAATGCCACTCTGACGTAGTGCCTCTTCAATGGCATTTCTGAAATTTCCCTTAGACAACTAAATTCCAAGCTATCATCAAATTTTGTTTTGTGTGTCGTGAAAAATATTTTAAAGAAATTATCACAACAATTCTTGATATTCTTTCTGTGTGAGCGTAGGCAGTGTACCTTTTGAATGTGTATTGGAAATTAGAATAAAATAATAAACTGTCTATTGAATTTTTAAGATTGAGCATCCGAGGAAACATATAAGAATATTATTTTTTCTACTGTATTTGTATATTAGTTAGTGTTAGGAATTTGAGATAGGTCGAAAGTCTACGCAGACTGATTATGAACACGACTCTACTGAACTCTCAACTGCGACCGTGATCACTTTGCCCGACAATTTATAGTCTCATATCGTTTTTTGCATAAACTGTATTTTACTTTTCATCATTATTCACTTCTACAATAGAATATATAAATATAAAAACAACAAAACTGAATTGTACCTGAAAATATAGATCAATAATATTTTAAAAAGAATACTGTTTCGTCAAAAAAATATTCACAGCCCGACGCTGGTATTAACATAACAAGGCACAGTAAATCCTGATTTTCCGTTAACAAGAGAAGCAATTGAAAAATAGGTTGAGCAACCGCCTCCTACTATTCCAAAAATTATAATTTCTATTAAAATAACTTTAACATGTAGTTCTACTTGAACTTGCGTCCAAACTGGATTATTTGAAACATCTTCTTCAGACTGAAAACTAGACTGAGTAACCAAAGAGGTCGAATCGATCGCTGATTGTTTTCGCTTAGTAAGATGGGATGGAAGTGGGCCATAGGCATCTGAAGGTATTCGTTGCTTTGATAACATAATATAGAACATAGGCGGGAACACAAAATTAACTAGAACTATTGTTGTTCCTCCTAATAGAGATAGGATGACGTCAAAATGCGGAACTGTCAAAGCCACAAACATTACGGTCAGTGCAAGTGTTGTTCTCAACAATACTCTTTTTAGGCAAAATTCTGAAAAAAATAGATAAAAGTTTGTTTAGAAATTGACTATATTACGATTTTATGAGACTGAAGGGGATTTCATCGTTGTATATGCATATTCAGTTGCAATATTCCTTTGCAAATTTAACATTTTATGATTTTACAAAAAGATTAATTCCTTATCAACAGCATAAAGATAAATTCGGTACACTTACTGTCCGGTATTTTTAAGATACCCTCAATCTCTTGACTGACAGGGTTATTGAAGATAAGATAAGCCATGAGAAAATGCGACGTCACCAAAATATTGACTGTGTATGACATCCAATCTCCAGGTAAAGCATTCAGAACATTTGGTTTCATGTTATCGCCTAGTACCACAAACCCAGTGATTCCGACAAGAAGATACACCGACATGACAACTAAAAAAGTTATTGTTCAAATTATGAGTTGAGACAATGGTATACTTTTGCATACAATAAGAAGTTACAATCATCAAAGTAATTGCATATATATTGTAGCAATACTTTTCTTACAGTACATCTTTGGTGACAGATGTCAATATTTTATGCGAGGGAGTTTGTTGCGTACAAATATCTGGAGTAGATAAATAAATAATACTTGCCTGAAATTCCGATGATTGCTGATATTGGAAATTTGGATGGACGTCTCATATCAAGCTGAATGGTTGGGAAACAACTTGCTCCACCGAACGAAAAAAGTATTGTACCTGCAGCACTCAGAAATAGAGACCACTGGGGTTCCGCATGTTCAGGACTTGATTGATTTGAAGTGCTCTAAAAAGCCAAGGTTGGGAGTGCTGATTTCATTTAGGGCGATGAGCAAGAGCATTTTAATTTATGACTGTTGGCGAGTACAAGAATTAATCCTTACCCGAATTAATGTGCCAGTTGTCTTTGCATAGCTTATTTTAAAGTAAATCTTGAACTACTCAAAATTGATAAGCATAATTTTTTTTATTTCCAAAACTTACTGTTATCATGCTCCCAAACACAAAAAATGCAGCCACAATACTTGCACATGCGGCAATAATTCCAGCTTGCCAAAAATCCTTTGGTGTTCCCAACCAAGATAATGGAATCAAGACTCCCGTAGTGATCATGACGATATAACACAGAGAAAAATCATGATGTCCTATGTCGGATATAGAGTCGGATATATTACTAGATATCAGAAGCAGAAGCACAACTTCTAAGAATTAGAAAAGACAATATAATTACTTTGTGAATACAGTGTGAGATATATCAAAATAGCAGCGTAATATGTATCAAATAACTGACTCGTGAAATTTTTGCAAATATATAAAATATTTCTTACTTGTCCCAAACATTGTTATATCAAGGCAAACTCTTGTAGCAATTTCAGCAACTCGTCCTCCAGCTCGATGCGCTATAGTCGGGTAGGGGTCCGTAATTCTGTCATTTTCATATTCTGGGTAACGATTACGTAGTATTGCCCAGCATTTACCAAGAAGCGTTCCCGTATACGCGGCCTTAATACCACACGTAAGAATAATGGCTGGTCCTGCAAAATTGTATACTATAACACGGTGCTAAAGCAGAAATTTTGAAAATTATTTAGATGTTTGAACATTTGAGACACAGGAAAATATAGAAAGAATTTTGTAGGCTTCCAGGATGATGAGGCATTTTATCATTTGATCGGATATGGCCAAGAGGACCCGAACCAAACGTTAAAGCGTTAACTTATCTATATTAACATATCGGCTTAGGCATTATGTGATTCAAATTTTATCATAACTGAGCGACCCCTTGATATTCTTGTTTGAAAAAACCGCGTGCAGCAATGTAATAAACGTACCAATGTATCCACTATTGACGACAGCTTGTGGGATAGTTAGTACACCAGTTCCACACATCGTTCCGACAATAAACAAGGCGGTTGTTGCGATTCCAAGTCGGTTTTCTTCATTTTTTCTCTGGAAGTGGAAATTTTATTATAATTTATTGAAAAATAAGTAGGCATAAAATGCAACTTTCAAAATAATATCAAAATTTTTGGGATGAGATATATATCTCATCATAAAAAGAATTAGCTAACTATCTTCTGTGAGCCTTTGACGTTTTATTGGTAATGAAAAATCGATAATGTTATTAGCTATCGATACCTGCAAATTGTTGGACGACAGTGAAAATGTGGAACCATGAAAAGATAAATCCGTTGATCCATACATTCCAATTATTCTTTAGGCTTCCAGAACATGATAACAATACTTTAACTTATGACAACAGCATATCTTGAATCCTAAGAATTCTATAATTTTATGAATTCTCAGATACTGATCTAGAAGTCTTCCTAGTATTTTCTTTTCGTTTCTGCACCACACTCAGTCTTTCCTACTCTTATACGTGTTTCAAATATTTTGAGCTATCCAACATAACTTCACATAGAATCAGACAGAAGTCTTGATAATATTGTTTCTTATTAAAAGGTAAAAATCATTTTCAACAGTATGACCTAACAGCTTTTGCTCAATATGCCAGTATTATTTAGTAATTACTTCATCGAGCTACAACTGGATTACCTGGTGAACTATAGCAAATGACTGAGTTTGTTTAATTTGGAAGAAACTATTTCAAAACTCTATGACCATAACTGGGTTTGCTTGCGATATGACGGGGTTTTAATTTAAACACACTTGCACGAATGGTTTGTCAAACAAATAGATTGCAGTAATCAGATCAAACTCCGTTTATTTGACAGATTTACCCGTTATTGTTTTGCAATGTTGACCAGCCATTCCATTCAGTTCTGATTTTCATACATTAACGATACAGCCTTTGTGTACAAGGTGAGAAATTATTTATTGTCAGAATACCGAAAAAAAAACACCAACTATAGCAAATATTTATATTTTTTTATTATTAGTTAGTGTTTAGTTATTTGTTAGTTAGAGGCTAGACGACAACGATCCAGATGAGTCTCTCCGAGACGACACTTCTTTTTCCTCTGCCCTTTTTTAAATGCACGAAATCAAAGCTTACTATATACGTTAGTGCTGCGATCAATACGTCTTCGGAGAATATTCGTGTATAATATGCGTTATAATACATTATGTAATAATTGAGAAATCGATACTCATTTCGTGAACTACCTTTTCCATTATTGATTAGTAATCAACATGTGTTGTACATTATCAATCTAATATTTTTGGTTGACATTTGCTTCCAAATTTAGAAGGGTTTTTCGCCGATCTAAATTCCAATTTAAAGAATTTCTAATTAGTAAATGTTAGTCCTTTTCTAAACTTTTATAAATATTAGGTAAAATAACCAATTTATATCTCTAAATATCTACGCCGATTTTGATCGGAGATCAGGATTTTGAACATATTTGTCGCTTCACATACATGAATTTAAAAAACATATATAAATAGTAAAATGACACAAACCACAAATTAAAATACACATATGGATATAAACTGAAATTCAAAATTATGGGACGAGGAGATTTAAAGAATGAGAAGGAAATAGGATGGAAGTTAAAGTTTCAGATTAGAAAAGAATATGATTAGAAAAGAAATTACTATTTAAATTTGATTTCGACAGATAAAACTAATATTTGAATCCAATATGTTCCGTTACACTGGAGTACTAATCTCTCATGTCATCGCGATGTTGCTATTGGTCGCGTTGGCAATTTTTGAAAATCCCTCGTCGGGTAAATAAAAGTATAAAATAGCGCTGTGTTTAGCACAAAAAATATTTATTATATACTCGTGTTCAATGAATATATTGATGAGCTAATTTATTTAACGTGGTATATAAACGATACTATAAGTGTTCAAAAGTGTGATTCAATTGAATCATCTTTTAAAAGTCACATTACTGACAGAAGAGTATAAAAATAGCCAGCCTTATTTCCGTGTTAATGAGATCTACCTACTAATCGAAATGGCTTGTATCCTGACATTCCATTTGATCCATGACATTTCATTTGACCGTGTTGAATCGTGTAGTAATTGCAGATTTTTCACGGCTATCTAGGTGTAGCGGAATTTCAAATTTGAAATAATAAGATGAACATGTAATCTTAAATTGTGTTGACGTTTGTAATCCTCGATTCCGCGTTTCAATTCCGAACCATGATTCCTTACTAGTATCTGAGTTGCATTCGAAGAACTGCGGGTGTGTGTATTTGAGAGTTTTTTTGCAAAGCAGATAGTGGCTTACCAGGGGTTGCAACATGTGAGACAAAAGCTTCGCCATTTGAGCCATTTATTTCGCTTCCACTCACCCCTACAAGTATACCTTGGGTATCAAAATCCGCCATGGCGATTGTAAACTATAACCCGGACAACACAAAAACAATAGCAGCTACAGGAATCCCAGGATTTACTCCCAGATTTCACTTATATGTAACACCATTTTTCCAAAAAAAAAACTTAATGTGAGGAAATACAATTATGGTATATCAGACAAACCTTTTAAAAATGCATTTAAAGTCCTCCTATCACACAAAAAGCATTTCAAAAATAGTGATTGTTTGATTTACTGGAAATATATAGATATAAAATGTGGTCGTTTATCTTTGCTTGTATTAAGCGTTTTTTGTTTGTGTACAATTTTTGAGGTAGAATACCTGAACGTAGATATGCTAGTCAATATTTTAAAATATTCGCCTACCGAAGTTTTAGGAAAACGCATCGATTCCATACGATTGTTGATCAATAACAGTAACAAGAATGACAATAAAATGATTAAGAAATAATGGAAAACTTTGTATTTGGCTATAAAGTGCAAAATAGTATTTATTTAAAGTCCAACACTGATATTAATATAACACGGTGCAGTAAATCCTGACTGTCCATTAACAAGGGAGGCAATTGAAAAATAGGTTGAACATGCACCTCCGACAAAACTAAATATTATGATTTCCATTAAAATAACTTTAGTGTGTAATTCAACATCAACTTGAATCCAACTTGTATGCTTTGTAATATCTTCTTTGGGAGAAACTTCTGATCCAACAACTAAAGAGTTTGACCTTCTTCGCGATTCTTTCCCTCGTATTAAGTGGCAGGGTAGGGGGCCGTGGGCATCGGACGGAATACGCTGCCTTGACAACAACAAATAAAATACCGGTGGGAAAATGAAACAAATTAAAACGATTGTGGTCCCACCCAATAATGAAAGTATTATGTCGAAGTGGGGAACTGACAACGCCACAAACAAGACAGCACCGGCGAAAGTTGTCCGAAACAAGACTCTTCTAAAACAAAATTCTGTGAATAAAAGAATAAATAACTTAAGAGCGCGTTGTGTAATCTTTTATACTCACACAATTAAATGGAAACCGGCACATTGTCTCAATTACTTATCAAGTTTTAATTACTTATCAAAACTTGAACTGAACTATAATTGAAGTAAACGCAATTTAGACTGCTCAGCATTGTTGACATTTAAAAGGCCATTTTTGAGTTGTGGTGCGACAACTAAATGGTGGCAAATATTTGATTAGAACTCCTCTGTACACTACATACACTTCGCTTCAGTAAATCTTTTGATTGAAAAAGGGAAGATTGGAAAAGGTTGTTTCCTTTTACTTATGAAAAATTGGTTACTATTTGTATTTAGACTACTTCAAGCCTACTTGTGTAATATGCAAAAAAAAAAAAAAAAAAAAAACCTACTGTTTGGTATCCCGAGGATTCCTTCAATATCTTGACTGACCGGGTTATTAAAAATGAGATAAGCCATGAGAAAATGCGACGTCACTAAAATATTAACCGTGTATGACATCCACCCGGCAGGAAGAGCATCGAGAACATTTGGTTTCATGTTTTCGCCGAGAACGACGAGACCTGTGACTCCGACAAGAAGATACACCGAGATAACAGCTGGAAAATATATTATTTTGATTTTCACTCGATAATTGAGCAATAAATTTACAATAATGTATATCTGAATAATCCTAATTAGTGCTTTTAAACTTTACCAGATGTTTGTGCCATCATTACCAGTTCTTGTATCATTTCAGAGCCCCAGAATATAATATTCCAGTTATACATATGCTTAATGCATAAAATTGTAGATAAGTTGCTAAATCATAATCAAATGTATTTGTCATATTCCACGTTTGAAGTCTAAAATTGATTTTTAAAACTTGGTTGTGATACTTTCAATTGAAATTGATATTTTATGTACTTTATAACATTGTACTTGTTAATCTTTGTCATCAAATCATGAATTATTACATGCTCGTCTAAAAAAACGCTACATTTTGTTTGCAGCGCTAGCATATGGGTAGGCATAATCCTGATCGAGAAACTCATCTGATCTTCTTTGCAAGTCTCAAAATTTATTTCTAGTTTCAATTTGTTGTTCCATGGAATACATGCGATCGACTTTGACAAAGTTTTATTCAACGAGAAAGACATATTCTCACTTGAAATTCCCATTACCACAGATGTTGAAAACTTATTGGGATGTTTCATATCAAGTTGAATTGTTGGAAAGCAACCAGCACCTCCGAATGCAAAAAGTATTGTCCCTAAAGAACTGAGAAATATTGACCATTCAGGTTCTGCACGTTCGGGTTGAGGATGATTTGAAGTTGCCTGTTAATTAACGACAAATAAAGAAAAGAAATAGATGGATTATGTCATGTGTGCATTCCAGAAAGTATGAATTTTTGTTACTTACTTTAATCATACTACCGAATACAAAGAAGGCAGCCCCGATACTTGTGCACGCGGCAATAATTCCGGCTTGCCAAAAATCCTTTGGTGTGCCCAACCACGAAAGAGGTATCAGACATCCTGTGGTGATCATCACAATATAACAAAGAGGAAAACTATCATGTCCTAGGTTGGTAATTAAATTGAATATATTGCCTGATATCAGAAGAAGGAGTACTACTTCTGAAAATGGGAAACAAAAACAGTTCAATCATCAACCATGCAGGTAATGTGAAATCTAAGCAATTATCCGGTTATTCATTCTAAAATATAAATGCTGTATATTTTGCGTGTCTCCGATTTAAGCCTTATAATAACAAGAATATAATTGGATCACTCCTTGAGGTTGAATCAGTTCTCTTCAAAAATGAATTTACATGTTAGCTAGTTAGTCTTAGCATGACCCCAAGGTAACTATTTCAAGATAGAGATCTCAAACCCTGGCCAGTCCATTCTAAATTTGATTCCTCCCAATCTAGTGCTCTCCTACAGCTTGTTAAAGAATTATTTTGACATGCCAAATACCTGTTCCAAACATGGTAAAATCGATACAGACTCTGGTACCAACTTCAGCGAACCGTCCTCCAGCTCTGTGAGCTATGGTTGGATATGGGTCGGTAATTCTTTCACTTTCATATTCTGGATATCGAGCTCGTAGTATGGTCCAACATTCACTGAGAAGAGTTCCTGTGTATGAAGCTACTGTGCCGCACACAATGATAAGGACTGGACCTGTGAAATATTGGGATACTGTATGTTTAGTAATATAGACTTTTCTATAGCTTCTATTCTGTGATTCTGTAAGTGTATAGCATCACAAGCGCTGCCACTGTTGCGAGTTTGTACTTTGTTGAAAGTATGTGATGTGGTATTGAATTGTGTGCCCCACGGCACGCGTACGTGCATTCCCATATTATCATTTATCCAACTAACATCACTTATTGGAGATGGATAATTAATAAAGATTGTATTAAATAGCCATCAGACCATCAGATGGGCGATGTATTCGGCGCTTCAATGGTATTACTCGAAACAGAAGTGCTTCTCTCGTGGAAAGTAGTTTAGAGGAATTTTGAAGATGACCTGGCCGCCCGGGATAATGATTAAAACGACCTATGTAACACTTTTTGAACGAACACTGAATACTTCTCACCAATGTATCCACTATTCACTATGGCTTGTGGAATAGTCAGGACTCCTGTTCCACACATTGTTCCAACGATAAACAATGCAGCTGTCGTTACGCCAAATTTCTTTTTCTCATCTTCATTCTGTAACAACACGTAATTGTCATGACCTATATTATAACTTGGTACAGTCTAGTAGTCTAAACCAACTTGTTGGAATAAATGTTAATTTGAAATGTTTTCCATCGGACTATCTATATTGATTTTTTCCTACTTGGCTTATTTGTTTTATTTAGTCATAAAGTTAACATACAGATCGTGGTTAAAAGTGGTTTTAATTTTAATCAGTGTTGCTGAGCCAAAAAGTATTTTCTCTGAAGGTTCTAGTAATTACTAGATTTATATATATATATATCATTCACTAGTTTACTTATTCATTAATTTTTTATATCTATAAATTGATCTATTTTTACAATATGTCAGTATAAAATTTCATACCGATATAATAGACGATGATAGTGTAAACGTTGAACCGCTTTCTGACGAATCTGTTGATTCATCCATCGTCCTACAGCTATATTGACTTCGATTGTAGCGTGTTTTTAATTTTGCTACAATAAGTTTGATTTTCTTCAATTCTGTCTGATTCAATAAATCTTCTTTGATTTTGCCTGAGATTTCAACATAAAATAAAAGTCTTGGACTGTTGAATTTCCAATTCTTATCAACAAAAAGTCCGCTACCTAATAAACGAGTTACCGGGTCGAATTTTAATGATTGCTGATTAGTTAACTGTTGTAGAATCAAACTTTGCCAAATACTGAAATATTTCGATAAATTTTGGCCTTGGAAAATAGGCGCAGTGAGATTACAAATAAACGTACCTTTAACCTCCGAACAGCGAGTTTCTACATTTAATTTAAATGGCCTATCCGAGAAGCGAAATAACTATCTGCGTTTACTTGGGTTTGATGAACTATTTAGCAAACAAACGATCTCATGACTTGATGACTAATCAAACAACTGCATTGCAAATTAATAGGAATTATGTCGACTTTTGTGTAATGAACATATACACATGCCCAGCAGCACAAGGTAAAAGACAAATATTGCACTATTTTCTATTTTGGTTGGTCTTATCAAAGGCAGTGAGTGTTAGTATTATTTCTAAGCCTCGAGTCGCCAGTCACGGATGATTTGAGTATGAGTCAAGTACGATTCCAGCAAATTTAAAAGTCTGAGTCCTAAGCCGAGTCAGTGCACTCCCGAGCCTCACCAGGTATATTTCATAAACAGCAGTGAAATGGATGAATACGAGTTGAATTAACTTTGAGAGCCGCAATCTAGAGTAAATTTTTTGGAGAACTGAACCGTTCAATAACTACCTAACAACATTTACCTCGACAACAATAGGGCCTATTTCAAGTCACTTCTGCAGTGAGCTAGTGAATTTCGGAATTTTTCAGTATTACGTTCGCCGGCGTGGTACATCATCGTTTATTTACCATTTCAAACGCTATCGAGAATTTTGTTTAGATGAGTTGATTAACCACAAATCAACATCGATATTGAGAGATATTTTCGATTTCGTTAAAATCAACAAAACTGCATAAATCGCGGATCTTGTAGTCCGTTTATAAACACACTCTTCCGTGACTGTTGGGTTGAAAAGAAGCAAAATCTCTATGTCAATAAATATTCTAAGCTCATTCTGATATATTTACTAAACCGTGTCTTGGAGTATTAAACAGTCAATCTACTCAATTTGAGCAATTTCTGTTTGGGCGTCTCCAACAATATGGCATTACTTGATAAATTTTGTTTATTCAATTTATAACTTTATGCCTATTCTGAACCGAAAAAAAAATCGAAATACGCCCATAAGCCTTACTTTATTTGATCTTTAACCTTGTACGGAAGAAAATAGGTTCACAGTTCTCCCGATTTTCATATATTGATGAAACACCGTTCGTGTACAATAGGGACATTTATTCATTGTCTCCATACCATATATCATCGACAAAACCACCCACAAACAAACTATTAGATCTAAACTCCATTATTTTCGTGTTTGTTTGCAATTTCAGCAAAATCTTCTTCATAATCAAGAGGTCGAGAAAGAATAAGATGAATATGGAAGCTTAAATTATGTTGACGTTTGTAATCCTCGATTCTACGTTTCAATTCCGAACGATGATTCATTGCCAGCAGCTGTGTTGCATTCGAAGGACTGGATTTGTGTATATTCAATTGTTTCAGGTTTTGACGACCGTTGTTGTATGTTGTCTCGTCGCTTTCTTTTCGCAGAAAATAAAGAGCTCTAAAATGGTTAACAATAAAATAATGGCGTAACGTATTCGTTCATTATTTATTACTAAAAATACTGCCCAGTAAAGTTTGGATGTGGAGGATTAAGGTATCCACAGTTTGCTTGCCTTTTGAAGAGAAGTTGTGTGCCACAAAACCATTAGAAAAATTGTATTATCGAGCAAATCTGCTGTTTACTGCTATTGGGAATTTGGGACCCAAAGATCTAATTTACTGAACGGTCAACGCAAAAACACATGGGTACAAAGCCCAGTGCGTCTATTTCATACCAAATAACTGTTTTGCATAATCAAACACTTTGCGTCACGAATCATCACAAAATATGTCAATTATACCAAAATTTCGACATTTCAGGTCATTTTGTATAAACCATCAAAAACTTTTTCGTTGAAATGAATGCAATCCAATAAAATTCCAATGTCTGTTGATATAAAAAAATACAAAAAAAATTACTTTCACTATACTTTCAAAAAAATTGATGAAATTCAACATGTGCTCGGAATGGCCCATTCTATTTGTAAATACGATTCAAATTGGAGGTTCAATTCCAGACGTAGTCCCATACAGGTAACATGACCGACCCCGGATAAAATGAAATTTTCTGTTGCATTAAAATATTATTGATGTTGTTAAAATGTCAAATTCAGTCGTAAAACCATGGCTGCATCTATTAATATCCTGCCACTAATGCCCTGAAGTAGTTTCTTTGTATCGGCGTATTTTTTGAATCAGGCTATGTCATGTTAGTTAAAGGCGGGGCATTCACCTAATTTGCTAACTAGAATTTGAAGAAAACAGATTAGAACTTAGTGAATGGTGGAAACAACAGGATGCTGTTCCAGCACAATTTAAAAAGCCTGCTTTTCCCACAGCTATATACATCAATGTGACTGAAACAGCCCGTAAACTTGCATCAATTTGCAAGTGAGTAATACATACCTGAATCCAGTTTTCTGATAGCTGACTTTTCTCCAGCCATGATCCTTCAGGAAGGGAACTATCACTTTCCTATGCAATGCAGATGGTGGCTTACCAGGTGTTGCAACGTGCAAGAAAAATGCGTCATCGTTTTCACCCTTTCTGTCGCTTTCCCTTACAACTGCTAGTATGTCCTGAGTATCAAAATCCGCCATGGCGATTGTAAACAATAACATGGACAACACATAAACAACAGGAAACCGCAGTGCTTAAAAACAGCTGCTGCGTGAAATCTACAAGAATTTTATAGTCATTCAATTCATTAGGATGTATCACAATTTTAATAAAACAAATCCACGTAAAGAAAGCCAACTATAAAATATGTGACAAACCTGATAAAAATGCATTCGTAGACCCTATCAAACAAAGCCATTTCAGAATTAGTAATTGTTCGATTTACCTAAAAATGTACATAAAATGTAATTGTTTTTCTCCACTTGTAATAAGCGTTTTTTGTTTGTTTACAATAATCTTAAGTTTAAAACCGTATTAGGCACTTTAACACGGTTGAGTTGAGTTGAAAAACGCGAGTTTGTAAATTTTACAGCTTTATAAATTTCGTATTTTTTACAATCGATTATCAAAAATGTCATTGCCATTTCAAATATTCCGATTGTTCACAGTATATAAGGGTCGAAATACAAAACCACGATTTAGCTTGCTTGCCAAACAGTCAATACTACAGGCTACCTCTCGGTCGCTTCGCTAGCTTTCACGACTGACAATCTTTGATCAATCTACGATTGACCTGCAAACTTTTCCCGTCTTTTTGTCCATTCAGTGTCATTGACGTTACGAAACAATCTGTACTCGATGCCCTAATGACAATTGACCTACATTAGCATGCGGGCAAGATAGCATGTTAATTCCAATGACATAGAACTCTCCTAATCTGTTTGCACAAACTCACTCATATATCTTTTATCTCTAACAACTAAAACACGACTTTTAACTATACTGGTCCGATTGCTTTGAAATTCTCAATGGTGAAAGATTGTATTTTTTGCTAGAAGGCTATTACTTTTATTTATTTCCAAAATTTCTGGGCTCCGGAATTTGTTTGTTTGTGTGCCATTACGTTATCTAAATTAAAAATTGTGCACATTATATCGGTTGAAATCGTGAATTAAAAACCGCGGCACCAGTAGTCTCTCGTGACAAATTGCAAACCTGTACTACCTCGTTTTGACTTTCCTGTCGATATATTTGAGCATCCATCTCTTGTTAAACAGTAGCATGATTTTTTGGCGTATTCAGCCAATTATACGTTTATATTGATAGATCGCAAAAAATAAATTTATATAAATTTATATTCTTTTTATATTAGCAAATTTTTTTTTGAGATTTTTTTGTTTGATATAAAAAGTTTCACACTTGTTCACTCCCAAACTCGCGTCACTCTCACTGTGAAAGTCCTTTTTCCTGAAACGCCGTCTGCTAGCGTCTGTTTCTTTGCTTCAATGTCTGAACCAGTAAAGGAATATTTTTCAAATTGAATCACATTAATAACAGCACTGACATGGAAATAATGTTGGATTCTCTGCAACCCAACACATCACGTTAATCGATTCTATAAAGTATAAAATTCAATAATGGCAAAACTGATCAAAATCAATTCTATCTAATTGCCACGATTGTACGACGACGACATTTTGCTCACTCAAAGCTTCCCCCTAATTTTCTTTTTTTTCGAACAATATTCAGATATGGTCATGTTTCATGAGAACTTGTACTCAAGACAGATTAATTTGACGTATCGCCACACCATCGCTGTACTACCATAAATTTTGTCTTAATGGCGCCGTGACAGGTATCTGAATAAATGTGTATTGATGCGAGTATTTGAGTACTCATACCTCTTTCAACTTGACATACGTATGTGTCAGAAATCCTATATTATACCATCTTTCCTAAGGTGATAGATTTTTTATAATTAATATTATTTCTAAATGTCATTTATTATTATTACTAATTTCGCAAGCAAGAATATGAATTGTGACTACAAGTCTGCAAAATAAATCGATTGAAATAACAGATATTTTACAATAAAATAACTATCTTTTTATCAATTTGTATTGACATATAGATTACCATTCAAATTGTCACATTTGTAAAAAATGACACCAGAAAATGTTTTTTTCAAAGAATGGATAGGCTGTACTTTTTAACAATATCCATCGTGAACTGGAATAAAAGTCAGTTCCACTCTACATCATTCATCATTGATATAACAATGTGAGTTCCGTCTAAAGTTGTGTGACGTTATTACTGCAGTAGCTTGAGCGCGGTATTACTAAATTTTCATAAATACCCTGATTCCAGTGAACGATCGGAAGCACTGAGTCATTGTTATCATTTTTAAATCGCATCCCATTATGTTGGAAGTTTTATAATAACTTTAACGGGCTGTAACACGGCAGTGAGCATTTTCTGAGAAGGGTATTGATCAATTCAATATAGGAATTATAATGAAGTTTGAGCGTTCGTAGCAAATTTAAAAAACAAAAAAAAGTGGCGGTGCATTAACATATCTATTGATTATGTTTAACTCGAATTTCTAGCAATTTCAAAATTTCTTGTCGTTTTTGCTGTACTTGTTTTCACTGTAAAATTACCTCCCAACATATTATTACTGTACTAAACAGTTAGAATTGAAGTCAGTGTTTGACGACCAGGCCACAGATACGATGAAATTCTACATGATAATCAGCATAGTTGGATTTGCTTGTGGCCTGTTAATGGCAATACAAGGTAAGGTATTATAGTAACTATCGAAACACCATCTTCCCGTTTTACATGAATTCATTATTATTATAGACAGGCTCCATTGTATTTGAACACAGTTCTTTTGTTTTGGGGCCAATTAATAGCAGTACAGGGTAAGGTGTTCTTGTAAATGTATCAATACAATTATTTTATAGACAGATGGTATTTGAAAATGTAACATTGCATTTATATTATCGGCGACTATACAAAATCAATCAATTAGATCAGGAGTCATAATACTTATTTGACCGCGAGTCAGGTTTGACTCAAACTGTGTTGAAACGGGCCGGACAAATATTTTTGTCAATGCGATACAATAAATTCCCCCAAAGTTGGGAAATGCATTCATTTTATTCAACAATATGAATTCTACATTTCTGAAGGCTTGAATATTAAATTCTATATCGCAGAATATAGATCAAGAACATCCTAGCAAAACAAATATACAAGATTTCTTGACAGCTATCCTGAGGTTATCTGTTCGCACAATAATTGAATGTAAGCAGTACAAAAGTTAACGTGACCTGTAAAATGCGTTCGACGTTCATTTTAGCACGAGAATACCGATGAGGTCTAGCCTTCCTTAATGTTACCGCACGGTACCTATTTAACAACGTTATATCAGTTAGTGCTCAACTTTTGGTAACTATGGTAAGGTTCTACAAATCTTCAAAAAATAGCTTTTATGGCTTTGAACACCGTCACCGTCATAACTTAAGTAGTAATAACTTAAAAAAAAAAATGAAAAGGCTACCCAACTCAACGCAAGAGAAAGAAGTACAAAGTTAGATTCATCCGCCCGCCTACAACTGATAACATTTTAATTGTTAGGTCATGTAGAAGTCTGCGTTCATTGGCCAATGTCGCCGAAATGGCAGAGAATTTGGGACCGAGGGTAGCACTTATTTCTTGTAGTAAAAGAGTCTTTTTCTTAAAACGTGCAACTTTTGGGAATGGAAACAAGGTATTATTTGTTACTTAATTTCTGAGGAACATTTTAAAATCATACCCAAGTAGTTCTTAATGTGCGGTACGAAACTGAAATATAAACGGCCTCGTCTCGCGGCCTAATTCATTGGAAAACAATTCGCCATTTTTTGTGTTATCGCGGGCCGTATGAAAGACGCCACGGGCCGGATCCTGCCCGCGGGCCGTAGTTTGGTGACCCCTGAATTAGATAATATTGCGACAGATCCACATTTTCAAGTATGGAAATATTATGTATTCCATAAAATTAAGTAATGTCTATCTTTATAGGGGATTCAGGTCCGTGTATTACCAGAATCATAAACGGACATTTTGTTTTTCAAGGAAATTGCGAAAACCCTGACGGAGAAGGTAATGCTATGATCAAAATTAAACCATGTAGTAAGCATTTATTATAAGTGAAATGAGTGTGTAATATAGTTAACAAGCTGGCCAATCGCTGAGAGATGTTTTTCTCTGTATATTTATATCAATTAATAAATAAAGCTCAAAATAAAAAGATGAGAAACAGATAGTATGACTTACAGATAACAGGCACCAACCTTATGTTTGGTAAAATCAACTAAATTTTCTATTTTCTAAACTCGTATAATTTTAGAGATATGGCAACAATACGTCAATATTCTATCTATCCGATCGGTAAAAGCAAAATTTGTATAATATTTAAATATAAACTTTCTTTCAACCCGAACCTGCTAATTTTTTTCATATATGATTTGAAAATTTAATCCCATATTGTTTTTCATTTTAGATATTGTTGCTCAACTACGTAGAAAGGTTGATGCGACCAAAGAAGGAGGTTAGCTGCATAATTTATATTCAAAAAAAAAATTATCGGGTGCAAAGAATTTTTTGCGCCCTAAAAATTCTATTCTGCCTTTTATTCTAAAGTATAATCTATTCTATATAACTGATGCATTGTACTTTACCTGATAGGCTAATGCCAAAACGCATCATGAAGCTTTTCATTCAATGAGAAAAATGTGAAAATTTTTTTGATAAATACTCAGTCATGAATTATATTTTACAGAAACGTGCCCGATCTACCATAACGGTAAATGTACCTGGCCAATTAAGATTGGTGAAAAAACAACAAACTTTACTGGTGCTATCTCGGTTTGTGCAAGGATTGGTCGAAAACTTGCCGACATCACCAGTAGAAAGCAATATAATCTTATTGCCTCTTACATATAACCATGGTTAGCTGAGGATGAAAATCAATCCTTTTTTATTTGGACTGGAATGAAATACAGTTCTAAGGTGGGAATGAATAGGTTTTATATTGAACAGTATCAGGGCTGACTTGTAAGATTGAATTATGAAAAGTGTTTAATCTAGCAACTATAGTAAGTAAACAACTCGCATGCGGCATTTTTGCTCATTTTACTGATATTATTACATGTTATGGATTATTACATTACGCTTATGGTATCTCTTTGGCGTTGTCTCAAATTAAAAAGTCGTTTGTGGACATTATTAGCATTTCCGAGCAGCATTCCAACAAAAGTTTTATATCAAAAGTTTACACGGAATATACTAATAACAAAATATTTATATTGTCGAGTTTTGATGATTGCTCCACTGCTTAAGTTTAGATCCTGGCATGTCAGAAAATATTTGCGACTTTAACATTGACCAATATACCTCAATTTTGAGTGATAATTCGATATTTTTCATTGGTGCAATATTAATTTATACTTGAGAAATTACAAAATATGATTTTAGTAATATGTTACCTAATGCGAGTTGTATATTTAATTATTTTCAATGATAATCAATGCTTTGTTATAAAGATATTACACACGATACCAGCGGAATCAATACTCGCTTCAAACCGTTTTTTTATTTACAGATTAAAAATCTGACGTTCATCGATGGTACCGAACCCAACTGGTTGTTAAAATACCCTAATCTACCAGCAGAAGAAAAAGATGTCGGAGTGGTAATGAAAATATCAAATAGACAAGCATTCATTCTTTATCGATATTGGCATAAAGTAGGCTTTGGTGCTTTATGCCAGTAAAATAGTCATATCTTTGCAAAAACACCACATACTGACTAGAGATGTATCGATGTATCGGTATCGGCAGTATCGGCCCAATTTTTGGTAATAGTCATTGGAGATTACTCTATCTTTAATTAAGTTCTGAAAAATTGTAAATTCATTGAAAAGCTATTTTTCACAATACCAACATTTTTTGCAAGGCAAAGTAGAGCGAACTATAGGTGTAAGTCTAATTCTAATATGCTACCCGCTACACTAATAGTTCTATATCTGAATGACAACAATTCGATGACCATTTTCGTTGCGATTTATTTTAATTTTTACGGACATCAATATAGATATTTCATATATTCTTTCCCGAAATGCTTTAGTTGTAAACAATTTTTCTTATTTGTTGTTTGCTTTCTTTGTAATTTTTATAGGCCTACATTTCTTCAACTTTGCCTTTGATGTAAATTTCCTCTCGATATGCTTTTCTTGTATTTATTTTATTATACATTTCAGAAAAAATGCTTTTACTGTAAATTTTTTCGATAATTTATCTTTTTCAAAACAGTCAATAGTTGTAACTGAATCATATGTATACTTGGTGTAAAAAGCTGACGACGATGGTTCACGTATGGCCACTCTCCAACCACAAACACAAATGAAATAATATTTATATCATGAAAATGAACCGTTTCTGCAATACTATTAAAAATGTAACTGGAAACAAATATACCCCAAACTACTTGATGTTGTTATCCTTATATATACAGTCGCTGTATCTTAATGACGCGAGGAGATTTCTACCCCAGTATTTATATATATATTTTTTATCATGCACTATCAATTTATTGCGTTTTATCCGCATTGCCTGCGGTAGTATGTTTTACTTCTCACGGCGCTATTAAGATGTATTTTTGGTGTTCATTTTTAGTTTGTATGATATCGTTTCAGTCTGTAAAAGAGCATAGCGCCTATAAGAGCCAATTTTCAACATTTTTTCGAGGCCGCAGTTTGCATACCTACACACCCCTGTGTTCTGCAATAATAATAAAGAAACTGATATTCTATGTTTACGATATATTTTGCATGAGAGATGACCCCAGTACAGCGATGGTGTGGCGATACGTCAAATTAACTGTCTTGAGTATAAGTTCTTATGAAACATATTCCTATCTGGGTATTGTTGGAAAAATAAAGAAAATTAGAGAAAGCCTTGAATGAGCAAAATGTCGTCGTTGTATAATCGTGGCAATTGGATAGAATTGATTTCAATCAGTTTTGCCATCATTGAATTATACTTTATTGGAGAATCGATTAATGTGATGTGTGGCGTTGCAGAGAATCCAACATTAATTCTACGTCAGCGCTGTCTTCATCTTGTGTATTGGATTCCATCTTTAGCACGTGTTGAAGTTCACCTGCTTATGAAAAAAACGTATACGCACTAAATTTGACGCATTCTTCATAGATTAAGTCTACTGTAAATACGGTGATTTAATTTAAAATATATACTGCTACTGGCTCAAACTTTGAAGCACAGAAACACAAGACGATAGCAGGAGTTTTAGGACAGCGTATAACAGAACGAGTGACGCGAGTTTGGGAGTGAACGAGTGTAAAACTATTTGATATGAAACAAAAAAAATTTAAAAATAAAATTGCTCAACATTTGCTTATAGAAAATAAATATACAGTTATTTAAAACTGCTTGATTCAGTCTATTCATTGCAGTATACTCAATAATGTAATAAACAATTTTCTCCGAAAATATTTGTAAATTTCGGAAAATGCATACAGAGAATCGTACAACCCAGAAATGTTCACACCATGAAATGTCCTTCTGGCTTACACTGCGCAATTTATTACACCGTATACTAGTGAGAATTATTAGGATATTTAATTTCTAATTTCTTTTGGAATTTATTTCTCTTCGGATAATATTGCGCAATTTGGGTGTCCAATTACCAAATTTCCGACCTACTCAACCGAGGTTGTCAAAAGTGCTATTCAGTACTAGAGTACTTTAAAATTTCATTATTTTATCTCATTTTTCTTGTTTGAAGTTTTTCTATCATTGTCATTCTAAATAAATCTAACATTATGACTGCAATGTGTTTCGTTACCGTCAGACAAGTTGACAATTTCTTCAATTGCTTGCATGAAATCTGCAACTGTGTCATCGCTCAGCTCTTCTGATAAATCATTTTCCATCTTGGACATTGCCTTTCTGAATTCTGCTTCGTCCTAGAAATTTTGCATATCGAACTGAATAGCTTAGAGTTGAGGAATAATTTAATCAATATACCATATAGTTATCAATGAGGTTATAATTTTGATGGTTTTGTTGTTTGCACTTGCACAACTACAATGGACAATAAGCAGAAATAGACTTTGGATACGGAAATGTTTTTGAGGGGCACCTTACCATACTTCTTAGAGTTTTAATTCCATCCCAGGATTTAATCGTTTTTTTGACTACGTATCTGACAACGCTGAAAAACACCAGTAAAAAATATCGTTTTAAATTCTTCACAAAAAAACAGGTAGTTGATATTTAGATGATTGTGTCAAAATTGATAATTTTTTTGTCTTTGAATAAAGGAAAATTTATTTGTGGCAGAAATATAATCGATGTCTATTTGAAACATCTTGATAAGTTTTGAATAGTTGAATTCGATTTTGCCAATTTTTATTTGTAATAAATCAAATCCAACACGCATTCATATTAAACTTTTCTATCGCCTAGACTGGATGGATAGAGAAGATTGAGATATTTATGATGCAAACTTCTTAGATAGTTTTAGAAATGTAAATTCAAATGATTCAAAATAAATTCAGACAAATAGTTCTGTATAGTGTGTCTTTCATCTACTTACGGATATTTTCTCCACACACGATGTACGGTTCTGACTGTTTTTTTCACCCAGCCCCAGCCTTGGGTGTCTTGTATCAGTAACGCAGCCAATAAAGCAACAAGTACCACCGCTTTCGTATTCATCATGTATATGTCAGATTTTGAATTTTAGATATGTGATTGGAAATGAATGGCATATTTATAGATTTTGGATACTTCCCACGCTGTGTGATATTTTAATAATTTCCTACCTATTGCCTATCTGGGATCAAATTATGAGTTGCACCTTCCTACTGCTATATTTTTCTCTGCGTCGCTGCGTGCTAGTGTTTACATATGTACTGACTGTAAAAACATTGTAGCAAAATTAAAAACGGCTATATCAAGCGTGACAACAGCACAGCTTCATAAAACTAGATTGACGTCGATGGTGAGGGGAAAGTAAAAAAAATAAGTGCAACTGTACCCCTTTTGTAAGCAAGTTTTGTAAGCAACCTATTTGAAAGTTCAATATCTTGATCTCCATACCTTGTCACTTCAAGATTCATTCGATATCTACTATTTAGATCTAGATCCCCGAGAAACAAATTGAGTAGTATGTGCTCTCTATAGCAGTGGCGGACCGTCGCCGGTCCGCAAGGTTTTGTGCTGGTCCGCGAGAAATTTCGTTGTTTTGTTGCTTTTCTGCCGTCTCAATTGCTTTAGCGAAGACAAAAAGACGAAGTTGCGTTGATTGATTATGCAATTTCTCTTTCGCCATCATATTGCTGTTTGATAATATTAACGGCCCGGCGACATCTTGGCGCCGAGTAATCACACTTTTCGCTTTTCAGTTCTGATTCATCGCGAAAGCGCTCAAATCTCGCAAGATTCGGAAACCTCGCACACATGCGTTTTCTGTTTTGCATGCTCTTCCTGATTGATATGACCATACAAATAAAAGATTATGCACATTTCTTTGTTTAAACCAGATAACAGTAAAGAACAGTATTATATTACAGGGCTTCGCCTTGACATCCAGCAAGATATGAACTTGTTTCGACCCTGCAGATGGTCACGAGACGCGCAACATAAGCATGAGCCGCTGAGATCTTTTCCAGGTGATGCACAGCAGAATTTTTAGCCTGGTGCCAAGTCACCGACGACTTTGCCATTGCAATGTTAATTTATGTGTTGCAGAAACTTCATTGAAGCCCAGTTTGCAATCCTATATTGGGAAAAAGCAGCAGAAAAATTCTCACTAGAGTTGTGTTTGTACATAATTTGGCATGTACATGTTTATTTTTCATGTGAGATGTTTTCTGTGTGCCTTTTTACGCACAATTTTGCAAATATATGGTATTATTTTATGTTTCGACCATTTTATTTTTTAGCCGGCACATGATTTGATTCTCTTCATGTGAAATGTTTTGAAGTGTATTTTTTATTATAGAAGCATAGTGAGTGCCAGGCATTGCATTATATTACGTTAATATATGATATTTTTTTCTGTTGGAAACCACTGCTCTATAGGAATTATTTCCAGCCTATTTCTGAGGTTTCCCGCTAGTAGTGAGAAAATATCGGTACAAAAATGATACCATTTGTCTTTACGTTTAACCCTTGTTTTAATTTTGTACTCGACCCCGTTAGGAAATGGCACCGGAGGCTCACAATGTATCCGAACCCGGTCACTTCCGTAAACAGGGCTCTTGACCTCTTCACAAATCTCTTCATAATTATTGTTGTAACGCGGCCGAATCATTGCCATCCGGGGCACCATTTCCTCCTATCTTGTTGACTGCCTACAATCTGCAGAAGAAAAAACATCTTATATGACCCAATTTCCTATGATACGGTAATATCATGTATTCAGAGTATTAGGGTCCCCCATGTTTCTATATGCTGACATCAAGGATCATATAGAATCAATTTTACAAAATCTCAATTTCATTTCAGTTCATTTGAAATTTAGTAACCTTCAATCTTTTTTTTTTCAAATGCCTGTTTTCCTGACTCACTATAACCTCACACTCGGGGAGTAAGTTCTCGTGATCTTGCTTCGAGAAAATAGTTTTTAAAAGTATTTATTTTCTAGTTGTAATCTCCATTTTTTCACATTATATAAATTCTAAATTATCTCGTACTTTCATGGAACAAAGTAGGCTATTCAAGAGCCCTACAAAAATAATATTTTACCTTTCTTAAAATTACCTATCTAGACATTCTAGACAACGGGACCATTCTTTTTAATTTTTGAGTACAGATCATTAAAAACCATCTGGAAACGATAGACTAATAAATTACATGGCAAGAATGCTCAAAGCTATGAAAAAAAAAGAACAGACGTTAGGAGGGCGTTTTGGGGACGTTAACAAAAATGTGCGGGCACTAAATTTAAATTCGAGGCGGCGCGTGACCGACCATAAAAAGAGCAAGCGGCAAAATAAGGTGGTGTGAAAAGCTCGCTGACGAATGGAGTGAGCAAGAAAACTTAAATTTTTGTTAACGTCCCCATAACATGAAATTCTGTGACAAACAAATATACAACTTAAATATATTACGACCCTATTTCAACAAGCCTATTGCACCATACAGATTTTAATAGCAACAACTATGTAGTGTATGCAGAATTAGGTAAAAGCATAAATTGATGACAGTATCAGGTGGGCTGAATGTTGTTGAATGTTTGTTGAATCAACAAACTGGCCGGATTTGGCCAGCCGGCCGTTGTTTGCCCACGTCAGGCCAAGGCCGACAGAGTAGATAAAGTATTAACTTCTTTATTGTCTATTTGAACTTAAATGAATTAAAATTGATGAAAGTAGCATTCATCTTCCTACTACCATTTTTTTTCTACGTTGTAGTATTTACATATGTATTGACTGTTAAAATATTGTAGCAGAATTAAAAACGGTTATATCAAGCGTGACAGCAGCACACCTTCATAAAACTCGAGTAATGTCAATGATGAAGGCAGAATCAAATAAGTGCAACTGTACCACTAGTTTTGTGAGCAAATATTTGAAAGTTCGATATCTTGATCTCCATACCTTGTCACTTCAGGATTCATTCGATACCTACCATTTAGATTTAGAACATCGAAAAACAAATTGAGTAATATGTGTCCTATAGAAAATATTTCCAGAGCCTATTTCCGATGTTTTTTGTCGGTAGTGGGAAAATATCTGAACAAAAATGCTATCATTCGCTTCTACGTTTAACCCTTGTCTTAATTTTGTACTCGACCCTGTTAATAAAAGGCACCGGAGGCTCACAATGTATCAGAACCCGGTCACTTACGTAAACAGGGCACTTGTATTTTCGCAAATCCCTTTATTATTATTGTTCTAACGCGACCGAATCATTGCCATCCGGGGCACCATTTTCTCCTATCTTGTTGACGGCCTACAATCTGCAAAAAAAAAAATCTTATATGACCCAATTTCCTATGATTCGGTAATATATAGATTATATATTTATTATGTTTCTATATGCTGATATCAAAAATCATATAGATTCAATTTTACAATCTGTATTTTACAATATCTCAATTTCATTTCAATTTATTTGGAAGTTAAAACAAACCTATGGCTAATTTTATTTTCTGCTATCCTGCTTATTTATTTTACCATGTGCGAAATACTTTTAACCCATTCACCCAGTTAATAATTTTGTTCACGGCCCGGTTTAATAATGGTGCCCACGTCGTATCAGGCCCCGGTCACATCCGTAAACAAGGCACTTGTCCTCTCTATAAACCCTTTTGAATTTATTGTTTTAATACGGTTAAACAATGGCACCATTTCCTATACTGTACTGTACGTACACCGCAGCTATATTAAAAATTCTTCTGAATATATAGAAAAGGATAAATGTGATTGTTATATTGATACATAAGATTCTCATAGAAATAGTAGTGCCAATATATATCATGTACCACACATGACCTCATTGCATTCGTTAGTAAAGACAACGTCCGGATAAAGTTTACGAATCATTTTATGTATACCACAATGTAGCCTGATTGTGGAAGTGCCTTTGCCGCTTCAATATAATACCATAAATAGGGTTATAGGCTGTGCTTGTTCACTTCTGTCAAGTCGTACACTTTCTATAACCCGAAATAAACGTTGTGCAAAGGGTAAAACGGGGATCATGGGTCAAATCAGAGTCCAGTATTATATTTCACCAATTCAGTAATATCCGTGTATTTATTATTATATGTTAATATGAGTAATTCGTAATTCAACTTGATACTATTTTTTTTATATTTTTACCACTATACCCAAAACGGAATCAACCATATCGTAATTTGACAGGAAAATGGAAAAATAAAATAAAAAATGTTTACTGCGAATAAAACTCTGAAGGAACCTCTGAACCTCTAAAGAGAACGTCTTGCCCCTTTTCAATTACATATATTTAAATCACTTTTCACTACTTTTCTAGTTTTAATTGTCATTACATATTCACGTTTTACTACCTTGTTTCCCCGAAAATATGGGTCTTATTTCAGTTTTATTCCGAAATAAATAACACTAGGGCTTATTTTCGGGGGATGTCTTAAATTTTCATTTATAAAAAACAAAATTACAAAATAGAGAATAACGAGATTTTCAAACAAACAAAATACAAAAACCGATATTTATTCCTTTATAAATACCACGTTTTTATTCAAAATGACTGCAAAACATAGATTATCAATGATTTAAAACGTGTAGGAGAGATTTCTTGCTATCGACTAGGTTAAAAAAAATTCGCGCTGTTGACTAGGTCTTATTTTAAGGGGAGGGCTCATATTAATATTATTTTTAAAATTCAGGGCAATTCTTATTTTCAGGGTAGGTCTTATTTTCGGGGAAACACGGCATCCAATGCGCAATAATTGCGATTACAAATATGACATTTCAGTCAGATGTCTCAATCGGTGCTTTCACAATATGTTGCATGTCTAAGAACAGTGTTATAATGCATTACTACACCATTTCATCGCAGTATAATTGCGGAAGTTTTGCAAAAAATCTTTTTAAACATATTGTTGACCTTATTCTCAACATACAAACAGTTTGGAAATGAAGGTAGCAATTTTAGTGAATATGTATTTAAAATAGGACGTAATGAATATAACTTCAATCATGCTGATGTCGAGGTCATTCCCTAAGCAAAAATAGCATTTATACAATATTGCTCAAAATTAGGAATTACAGACAATAGTTTCCATTCAAATGATTGTGCAAACAGAGCGTTATTTGGATGCATATATCAATTAAACCTTTAAATTCGTTCATTGGCCATTGGCCTATGCCTTGAACAACTAACGGAAACTTTTACGTCGATTTTATTCAACCATTGTGTTACATAAAGCATTGTTTCGGGGGCATCCTGGCTTTCGTATATAAGACGTGCAAATGACAACGTGTTATTAGATATTCTAAAATTCAACGATCGAGAAGGTAAGAGAGGGGTTTGCTATCAAATAAATCAATTTTTAAAAGTATGGTGTCAAACTATTTTATGTAATGATTACTCGAATAGAAAAAGGAACACTGCTGAAAATTAGTATTAGTTTATCTTAAACCTATTCTGGTATCTAAATACATGCTAAATCAATAATAATTACTCCAATAAGTTTACTAATTGGAATTATTAAGTTTAAAAAATGAATATGACATATTTTCCATATATTCTAGATAGCATAACAAACGGTAACATGTTTCGTGGAACGATTGCGTTGTTGTTATTAGCAATTGCTCTCATTCAAATCATTGATTCAAAAATTGACCCCGAGAAAAAGAAATTGCGCAGGGAAAAGTGGAAACGTTTCTGGCAGTTGTAAGTATTCGAGATTTATAATTGTGATTATGAGTAATTTACAGGCGATAGTTCCAAGCCAATGGAATTTTAGACCAAAATAAAAGTCATGGTTCATTAAATTTTCGCAAGTTTCGTTTAAAAAAAAAAATAATGTTTGATTCACCACAATCGTGGCATGATGATAATTAAAGAAAGTTAGGAAAGCCGATGATGATGTTGAAAATTGTTAAACATAGAACTTCAAATGTTGGTGTGATTCGAAGTTTTGTGTTTCGTAGTATTTCTAGAAAATAATATTTTATGTGGAGACAAATCCCAGATGTCGTCATATATCTATGAACTTTATTTTTCTAGTAGAAGATGGAAGAGAAACAAGCAATCTTCATCCGGAGATGTTTTGGACAATATAGTGGCTGAGTTAGACCACGAAACCACAGATTCAAAATACAGAGATGCAGATGACGTGATCTTTAAACGTATGCAAGAGTTCGTCGATGATGTGAACGCCTATAATTGAAAATAATATCTTGGTAAAGTTGCAATACAATACATGATTTTTATTAATCAGAATAAATGAAAAACAAAATATTTGTCATTTTTAAACAAAAATAGGTTTCATAATGGCAGAATTTTCACCATCCATATTGAGAAGCAAATTTATATTGATATCTGTAAAATAATTAAATGAAGGAGATAATAATAGTTGCTAATGAAACTAGTACTCCACGTAATCAGTGCTGCTTGTTATAAAAGTTTGCTCAAGATGAAAGACTCGTGTGTGTTGTTGCTTCAGTGTCTCTCCAGATCAAGAGTTAATAATTTATTTTTATGCAAGAATAGAAATAGCACAAAAACGGTTTAACGATACATATATTTATGTCTACGAATTGTCAATTGTTTTCCTGAACAAAAGTGTACAAGTTTGTGTGAAAGGAGTTAATTGCAGATAATATAGACCCAACTTTTATGAAGAAACGCAGTTGATCACACGGGGAAAAAAAAAAACTACTTAGCAAAACATGCATTCGTATAATATGCATGGTATTATATTAAGCATCGCCTACCATTGTTATTACAAATTTCCATTTAAAGTTGTGAATAGTTTTACTCACTAATATCAAAAGCCTCTATAGTCAAATGCTACGTGTCTGTATTTTATGATGACCATTTTCGTCCGGAATCCTTCAAATGTTTGTGCGTAATAATTTTATATTGATAATATAGGTAATTTTGAAATAGGTAAAATAATATTTTAGTAGGGCTCTTATATAACCTGCTTTGTCCCATGAAAGTACGAGATAATGTAGAATTTATAAAATGTGAAAAAATGGAGATTACAACCAGAAAATAAATATTTTTTAAAACTATTTTCTCGAAGCAAGATCACGAGAACTCACTCAGAAATTGAAAAGAATAATTCCCGAGTTTCAGATAATAGTGATTGAGATTTGTAAAATTCTTATTGTAAAATTGAATCTATATGAATTTTGATGTCAGCATATATAAACATGAGGGACTCTAATACCCTAAATACATAATAATACCGTATCATAGGAAATCAGGTCATATAAGAAAAATTTTTCTCCTGCAGATTGTAGGCAGTCAAAAAGATAGGAAGAAATGGTGCCCCGGATGGTCATGATTTGGTCGTGTTAAAACAATTATTAAAGGATTTGTGGAGAGGACAAGATCCCTGTTTACGGAAGTGACCCGGCTCTGATACGTTGTGAGCCTCCGGTGCCATTTCTTAACGGGGTCGAGTACAGAATTAAGAAAGGGGTTAAAAGTAGAAGCACATGGTAGCATTTTTATTCAGATGTTTCATACCACTAGATGAAAACCTCGAAAATAGGCAGGAAATAATTCCTATAGGGCACGCACTACTCAATTTGTTTTTCGGTGGTCTAAATCTAAATGTTAGGTATCGAATAAATCTTTAAGTGACAAGTGATCTTCAAATATGTTGCTTACAAAATTAGTAGTACAGTTGCACTTATTTTATTTTGCCTCCAACATTAACGTCAATCTAGTTTTATGAAGCTGTGCTGTTGTCACGCTTGATATCGTCGTTTTCAATTTTGATACAATGTTTTAACAGTCAGTACATATGAAAACACTAGCACGCAGCAACGCAGAGAAAAATAGCAGTGGGAAGGTCCAACTCATTTATTTGATAGGCAGTGAGTAGGAAACTATTAAAATATCACACTGCGTGGGATCCAAAACCTATAAATATGCCATTCCTTTCCAATCACATACCTAGAATTCAAAATCTAACATATACGAGATGAATACAAAAGCGGTGGTACTTGTTGCTTTATTGGCTGCGTTACTGATACAAGACACCCAAGGTTGGGGCTGGGTGAAAAAAACAGTCAGAACCGTACATCGTGTGTGGAAAAAATATCCGTAAGTAGATGAAAGACACACTATACAGAACTATTTGTCTGAATTTATTTTGAATCATTTGAATTTACATTTCTAAAACTATCTAAGAAGTTTGCATCATTAATACCTCAATCTTCTCTATCCGTCAAATCTGTGCAATATTGTTTATCATGAATGAGTGTTAGATTTGATTTATTACAAATGAAAATTGGCAAAATCGAATTTACCTATTCAAAACTTATCAAGCTATCAAGATGTTTCAAATAAGCATCAATTACATCTCTGCCGCAACTAAATTTCCCTTCATTGAAGACAAACAAATTATTAATTTTGACACAATCACCTAAATATCAACTACTTGTTTTTTTGTGAAAATTTTTTTACTGGTGTTTTCCAGCATTGTCAGATACGCAGTTAAAGGAGCAGCGGTGGCGACTGGATTCTGGGATGGAATCAAAACGCTAAGAAATATGGTAAGGTCCCCCTCAAAAACATTTCTGTATCCAAAATCTATTTCTGCTTATTATCCACTGTAGCTGTGCAAGGGAAAACAACAAAATGATCAAATATATACCCTCGTTCATAACTATATGTTATAATGATTAAATTTTTCCTCAACTCTAAGCTATTCAGTTCAATATACAAATGCAAAATTTTTAGGACGAAGCAGAACTTAGAAAGGCAATGTCCAAAATGGAAAATGATTTATCAGAGGAGCTGAGCGATGACACAGTTGCAGATTTCATGCAAGCAATTGAGGAAATTGTCAACTTGTCTGACGGTAATGAAACATATTGCAGTCATAATATTAGATTTATTTAGAATGGCAATGATAGAAAACTGTAAACATGAAAATTGAGATACAATAATCAAATTTTAAAGTACTCTAGTACTGAATAGCACTTTTGACAACGTCGGTTGAGTAGGTCGGAAATTTGGTAATTGGACACCCAAATTGCGCAATATTTTCCGAAGAGAAACAAATTCCAAAAGAAATCGAAAATTGAATATTCTAATAATTCTCTCTAGTATACGGTGTAATAAAACTCCTGCTATTGTCTTGTGTTTCTGTGATTCAAAGTCTGAGCCAGTAAAAGAATATATTTTAAATTAAAACACAGTGGACTTAATCGATGGAGAATACGTCAAATTTAGCGCGTTTACGTTTTTTTCATAAGCAGGTGAACTTCAACACGTGCAAAAGATGGAATCCAATACACAAGATGAAGACAGCGCTGACGTAGAAATAATGTTGGATTCTCTGCAACGTCACACATCACATTAATCGATTCTCCAATAAAGTATAATTCAGTGATGGCAAAACTGATTGAAATCAATTCTATCCAATTGCCACGATTATGCAACGACGACATTTTGCTCATTCAAGGCTTCCTATAATTTTCTTTATTTTTCCAACAATACCCAGATAGGAATATGTTTCATAAGAACTTATACTCAAGACAGTTAATTTGACGTATCGCCACACCATCGCTGTACTGGGGTCATCTCTCATGCAAAATATATCGTAAACATAGAATATCAGTTTCTTTATTATTATTGCAGAACACAGGGGTGTGTAGGTATGCAAACTGCGGCCTCGAAAAAATGTTGAAATTGGCTCTTATAGGCGCTATGCTCTTTTACAGACTGAAACAATATCATACAAAAACTTTAAATGAAAACGAAAAATACCATAAATTTCATTTTGATAGTGCCGTGAGAAGTAAAACATACTACCGCAGGCAGTACGGATAAAACGCAATAAATTGGGCGTGCATGACAAAAATATATATAAATATTGGGGTAGAATGCTTTTCGCGTCATTAAAATACAACGACTGTATATATAAGAATAACAACATCAAGTAGTTTGAGGTATAGAAACGGTATAGCAGAAACGATTCATTTTCATGATATAAATATTATTTCATTTGTGTTTGTGGTTGGAGAGTGGCCATACGTGGACCATCATCGTCAGCTTTTTTCACGAAGTATACATATAAATCAGTCAGGCAATATTTTATTTGTCATCGCAAATAATGATTGCACAGAAATTGATACCGATATTATTACTGGTAATGACAGGAGTCAGAGAGACCTTATGAGGTCTTCAAGCAGCGCCACATCTATAACCCACTGTTACTGGTTGAGTTTGAAAAGTAACTACGTATGTTACAACTATTGACTGTTTTGAAAAAGATGATTTATCAAAAAAATTTAAAGTAAAAGCAATTTTTCTGAAATGTAAAATACAATAAATACAAGAAAAGCATATTGAGAGGAAATTTACATCAAAGGCAAAGTTTAAGAAATGTGGGCCTATAAAAATTACAAAGAAAGCAAACAACAAATAAGAAAAATTGCTTACAACTAAAGCATTTTGAAAAATAATATACAAAATATATATATTTAACTTCGTAAGAAATAAAATAAATCGCAACGAAAATGGTCATCGAATTGTTGTCATTCAAGTTTAGAACTATTACTGTAGCGGGTATCGGATTAGAATTAGACTTACACCTATAGTTCGCTCTACTTTGCCTTGCAAAAAATGTTTTTATTGTAAAAAATAGCTTTTCAATGAATTTACAATTTTTCAGAACTTAATTAAAGATAGAGTAATCTCCAATAGACTATTACCAAAAATTGGGCCGATATTGCCGATACCGATACATCTCTAGTCAATATGTGGTGTGTTTGCAAAGATATAAAAATTTTACTGGCATAAAGCACCAAAGTCTACTTTATGCCAATTTAGATAAAGAATAAATGCTTGTGCATTTGATATTCTTATTACCACTCCGACATTTTTTTTCTTCTGCTGGCAGATTAGGATATTTTAACAACCAGTTGGGTTTGGTACCATCGATGTACGTCAGATTTTTAATCTGTAAATAAAAAAAACGGTTTGAAGCGAGTATTGATTCCGCAGGTATCGTGTGTAATATCTTTATAACAAAGCATTGATCATCATTAAAAATAGTTAAATATACAACTCACATTAAGTAAAATAATACTAGAATCATATTTTGTAATTTCTCAAGTATAAATTAATATTGCACCAATGAAAAATATCGAATTATTACTCAAAATTGAGGTAAATTGGTCAATGTTAAAGTCGCAAATATTTTCTGACTTTCCAGGATCTAAAATGAAGCAGTGGAGCAATCATCAGAACTCGAAAAGATACATATTTTGTTATTAGTATATTTCGTGTAAACTTTTGATATAAAACTTTTGTTAAAATGCTAGTTATTACTACTTAAGTTATGCTAAGACGGTGTTAAAAGGCATAAGTAAGCTGTTTTTTAAAGTTTTGTAGATCTTTACCATAGTTCCCAAAAGTTGAGCACTACCTGATATAACGTTGTTAAATAGGTACCGTGCGGTAACATCAATGAAGGCTAGACCCCATCGGTATTCTCGTGCTAAAGTGAACGTCGAACGCATTTTACAAGTCACGTTAACTTTTGTACTGCTTACATGCAATTCGTTTGCTAACAGCTAACCTCAGGATCAGCTGTCTATATTCTGCGATATAGAATTTAATATTCAAGACTTCAGAAATGTAGAATTCATATTGTTGAATAAATTGAATGCGTTTCCCAACTTTTTGTATCGCATTGTCAAAATTATTTGTCCGGCCCGTTTCAACCCAGTTTGAGTCATACCTGGCTCGCGGTCAAATAAGTTTGATGACTCTTGATCTAATTGATTGATTTTGTATAGTCGCCGATAATATAAATGCAATGTTACATTTTCAAATACCATCTGTCTATAAAATAATTATATTGATACATTTACAAGAACACCTTACCCTGTACTGCTATTAATTGGCCAAAAACAAAAAAAAATGTGTTCAAATACAATGGAGTCTGTCCATAATAATAATGAATTCTTGTAAAACGGAAAGACAGTGTTTCAATAGTTACTATAATACCTTAGCTTGTATTGACATTAATAGGCCACAAGCAAATCCAACAATGCTGATTATCATGTAGAATTTCATCGTCTCCGTGGCCTGGTCGTCAAACATTGACTTTAATTCTAACTGTTTAGTACAGTAATAATAGGTTGGGAAATAATTTTACAGTGAAAACAAGTACAACAAGCAAAAACGACAAAAAAATTTGAAATTGCGAGTTAAACATAATCAATAGATATCTTAATGCACCGCCACTTTTTTTTTTAAATATTTGCTACAAAGCTCGAACTTCATTATAATTCCTATATTGAATTGATCAATACCCTTTTTAGAGAATGCTCACTGCCATGTTAATGTCATTATGAAACTTCCAACATAATGGGATGCGATTGAAAATTGATAACATTGACTCAGTGCTTCCGATCGTTCACTAGAATCAGGGTATTAACGAAAATTTAGTAATACCACGCTCAAGCTACTGCTGTAATACCGTCACACAAGTTTAGACGGAACTCACATTGTTATATCAATGATGAATGATGTAGAATGGAACTGACTTTTATTCCAGTTCACGATGGATCCTGTTAAAAAGTGCAGCCTATGCATTCTTTGAAAAAAAAAACTTTTCTGGTGTCATTTTTACAAATGTGACAATTCGAATGACAATCTATATGCCAATACAAATTGATAAAATGGCAGTTATTTTAGTGTAAAATATCTGTTATTTCAATCGAAATTTTTGTCTCGAAGAATGCTGATTTATTTTGCAGTCTTGTAGTCACAATTCATATTCTTGCTTGCGAAATTAGTAATAATAATAAATGACTTTTATAATTAATATTAATTATAAAAACATATCACCTTAGAAAAGATGGTATAATATAGGATTTCTGACACACACGTATGTCAAGTTGAAAGAGGTATGAGTACTCAAATACTCGCATTAATACACATTTATTCAGATACCTGTCGCGGCGCCATTAAGACAAAATTTATGGTAGTACAGCGATGGAGTGGCGATACGTCAAATTAATCTGTCTTGAGTATAAGTTCTTATGAAACATATTCATATCTGGGTATTGTTGGAAGAAAAAAGAAAAATAGAGGAAGCCTTGAGTGAGCAAAAGGTCGTCGTTGTACAATCGTGGCAATTAAATAGAATTGATTTCAATCAGTTTTGCCATCATTGAATTATACTTTATTAGAGAATCGATTAACGTGATGTGTGGCGTTGCAGAAAATCCAACATTATTTCCACGTCAGCGCTGTTAATAAAGTGATTCAATTTGAAAATGATCCCTTTACTGGTTCAGACATTGAAGCAAAGAAACAGAAGACGCTAGCAGATGGCGTTTCAGGAAAAAGGACTTTCACAGTGAGAGTGACGCGAGTTTGGGAGTGAACGAGTGTGAAACTTTTTATATCACACAAAAAAATCTTGAAAATAAAATTGCTCAAAATTTGCTAATATAAAAGGAATATAAATTTATATAATCTTGCTTGATTCAGTCCCTTAATTGTGGTATATATTTATTTTTTTGCGATCTATCAATATAAACGTATAATTGGCTAAATACGCCAAAAAATCATGCTACTGTTTAACAAGAGAGGGATGCTCAAATATATCGACACGAAAGTCAAAACGAGGTAATACAGTTATGCTATCTGCCACGAGAGACTACTGGTGCCGCAGTTTTCATTTCACGATGATCACGTTAGATAACGTAATGGCACCCAAACAAAAAAATTCAGGAGCCCATAAATTTTGGAAATAAATAAAAGTAATAGCCTTCTAGCGGAAAATACAATCTTTCACCCTTGAGAATTTCAAAGTAATTGGACCAGTATAGTTAAAAGTCGTGTTTTAGTTGTTAGAGATAAAAGATATATATGTGAGCGAGTTTGTGCAAACAGATTAGGAGAGTTCTGTGTCATTGGAATTAACATGCTATCTTGCCCGCATGCTAATGTAGGTCAATTGTCATTAGGGCATCGAGTACAGATTGTTTGGTAAACGTCAATGACACTGAATGAACAAAGACTGGAAAAGTTTGCAGGTCATTCGTAGATTGATTAAAGATTGTCGGTCGTGAAAGCTAGCGAAGCGACTGAGATGTAGTCAGTAGTATTGACTGTTTGGCAAGCAAGCTAAATCGTGGTTTTGTATTTCGACCCTTATATACTGTGAACAATCAAAATAATTGAAATGGCAATGAAATTTTTGACAATCGAATGCAAAAAATACGAAATGTATAAAGCTGTGAAATTTACAAACTCGCGTTTTTTACCTCTCAAAATCCCGTGTTAAAGTGCCTAATACGGTTTTAAACAATCATTGTAAACAAACAAAAAACGCCTATTACAAGTAAAGAAAAGCAATTACATTTTATGTACATTTTTAGGTAAATCGAACATTTACTAATTTTGAAATGGTTTTGTTTGATAGGGTCTACGATTGCATATTTATCAGGTTTTTCACATATTTTATAGTTGGCTTTCTTTACGTGGATTTGTTTTATTAAAATTGTGATACATCTTAATGAATTGAATGACTATAAAATGCATTTAGATTTCATGCAGCAGCTGTTATTAGGCACTGCGGTTTTCTGTTGTTTATGTGTTGTCCATGTTATTGTTTGCAATCGCCATGGCAGATTTTGATACTCAGGACATACTAGCAGTTGTGAGGGAAAGCGACAGAAAGGGTAAAAACGATGACGCATTTTTTTTGCATGTTGCAACCCCTGGTAAGCCACCATCTGCATTGCATAGAAAAGGGTATTCCTTATCTGAAGGATCATGGCTGGAGAAATGTCAGCTATTAGAAAACTGGATTCAGGTATGTATTACTCACTTGCAAATTGATGCATGTTTACGGGCTGTTTTAGTCATATTGATGTAAAGCTGGGGCAAGAGCAAGCTTTTTAAATTGTGCTGGGATAGCATCCTGTTGCTTCCATCATTCACTAAGTTCTCATCTGTTTTCTTTAAATTTTGTTTAGCTTAGGATAAGTTAGGTGAATGCCCCCCACCTTATTACCATGACATAAAGATACACCAAATCAACGAAACTAGTTCAGGGCATTAGTGGCAGGGCATTAATAGGCCAGTATATGCCATGGTTTCAAAATTGAGTTTGACATTTTAACAACATTGTTAATTGTTTAATGCAATAGAAAGTTTCAATTTATTCAGGGTCTGGTTTTATGATTAGGACTATGTCACTTTCACGTCGAATCGTATTTACAAATATATAATTAAATCTTGTGTATTCAACTTTTATTTTGTAAAGTTTTATTGGAGTCAATGGGTTGTTTTTCAAGTACCAACATCGGTTTCAAATTGTTCATTCATTAAAAAGTAATTGGCAGGCGACAATTCCGAATCCAAAGAATTTTAGACCAAAAAAAGTCATGGTTTATTAAGTTTTTGTAAGTTTCGTTTAATGAAAAAAAATTGTTTGATTCACGACAATCGTGGCATGATAATGATTAAAGAAAGTTAACCAGATAGAAAAGACTGAGAACTATTCTTTGTAAATAATAGATTGAATGAAAAATCAGACCTGGGGATAAGTATTCAAATAATAATATTGAACCACACTTTACTCCAAAAGTGATGTTGAAAATTGTAAATCATAGAACTTCAAATGTTAGTTTGATTCAAAGTTTAGTGTTTCCTAGTATTTTTAAAAAACAGCATTTTTTGTGACGACAAATACCAGATGACGTCGTATACCTATGAACTTTATTTTTCTAGTAGAAGATGGAAGATAAACAGGCAATTTTCATCCGGAGATGTTTTGGACAATATAGTGGCTGAGTTAGACCACGAAACCACAGATTCAAAATACAAAGATGCTGATGACGTGATCTTTAAACGTATGCAGGAATTCGTCAATGATGTGAACGCCTATAATTGAAAATAATTATTTGTTGATAAAGTTCAATACAATGTATCAGTTCAATAATCAGAATATATAAGAAATGAAAAATAAAATATTTGCCATTTAAAAAAAAAAAATAGGCTTAATATAGGCAGAATTTCCACCGTCCATCTCGAAAGGCAAATTTATATTGCTATCTGTAAAATAGTGAAATAAAGGATAAATAAAGAGTATTTCATCCTAAAACAAGAGCGATAATCATAGTTGCTAATGAAACCAATATTTCACGTAATTAGTGCTTCTTTTTATGAAGTTTTGCACAAGATGAAAGACGATTGTGTGTTGCTTCAGTGTCTTTCCAGATCGAGAGATGGAAAATAATTTATTTTTATGCAAGAATAAAAATTGTACAAAAACGGTTCCACGATACATATAATTATGTCTACAAATTGTCAATTGTTTCCAAAATAAAAGTGTACTAGTTTGTGCAAAAAGGAGTTCTTGCAGATAATATGAACCCAACTTTTATGTAAAATCGCAGTTGATCACACGGACAATAAAAAATGAAAAAAAAACTACTTGGAAACCAATGCATTCGTATAATATACATGTTATTATATTAATTGAGGATCGCCTACCATAATTATCAAAGTTTCTTACTTAAACTTGTGAATAGTTTTACTTTGCCTGCATGGTTTTATCTACTAATATTAAAAGCTTCTGTAGTCAAATGCTACGTGTCTGTATTTTATGATGACCCTTTTCGTCCGGTATCCTTCTAATGTTCGTTCGTAATAGTTTTATTTTGATAGGTAATTTTAAAATAGATAAAATATTATTTTAGTATGGCTCTTATATAACGTGCTTTCTTCCATGAAAGTACGAGAAAATGCAGAATTTATGAAAAGTAAAAAAAATGGAGATTACAACCAGAAAATGAATACTTCTTACAACTATTTTTTCTCAAAGCAAGATCACGAGAACACAATGAGGAAAATTGAAAAAAAAAAATCTCCGAGCTTGACATTATAGTGAGTCCGAAAATATGAATTTGAAAAAAAGGTTAAAGATTATTAACTATTTAAAAACATGCGCTTCCTCTAGGAAAAAAATATACAATGGCTAGTGAGTATAAAATTGATTCTGGAGTGACAAGATTTAAAATGTGTAACCTTCGGATAACATGGATTACAGAAATGAAAAATTAGTGATATATGTTCTCTTATTGTACGTAAGTTACTCCATAAGTTTTTTTCTTTTCTGTAAAACTTTGCTGGAATTCTAGATGGAGGATGAATAAATCCACGATTTATTGGATTGTTTTATTGTATGAGTGTACAAGTGGGCCCTTTTAGTAATTTATTTGCTTTAATGCTCTTCAAATAAATGTTCATGAACTGTGATAAAGATTTAGTCCAACTCTATTGCTAACTGTAATTTTGCTAATAGTGCAACGAGTACTGTCCTTCACGCGGTTGGAGAGTTTTAATTAGTAAAACTAATCAGGATTATGTTGATAATAAATGAAGCACAAAAAGAATTTCTATACAGAAAAACTTCATCAGGGCATAATTCGAAACGTCGGCAAATTACATCGTTTTGCTAACACCGGTTTTGCTTCATTTATTATCAACATGAGTTTACCTGGTGGCAATCATGCACTAATCAGGATTATGTTTAAACTGGGGAAACGGAGGTTTAGTTTATTATCATACAAGAATATGTGCACGCGACAGGAAATATTAACGCTATTCAATGAAGGTTACTTTTGACCCCCTTTACGATTTTGAATAGCCATTTTTATTCTTTTACCGTCAGGTTCGGTACGGGTTCATCATTATTGAGAATCAATAAAACAAAAGGTTTCAAAGGGTAAATGTTGAAACGCTTCCGTACGACTCATATCATTATACGCTTTTGAATAAAATAATGAAATACGATATGTCTTGTCAGTTCTTCCTGGATTATTATGTATAAAAGTAATGCAGTCGTTACTTTTAGACATATTTTGTTCAACTTTACTCATAGACGAAGAAGTAATATCTGTTAGGAGGTAAGTACAAAAAACTTCAATATTATCAAAAAATAATTATTTAAGAAAAACAAGTGTCATGCCGTTCAAAGTTATTGTTTTAAAATACCGTCAGTGAAATTTTATTTTTTATTCTCACAGATAAGTATGGAGATGCGTGCAGCAATGTTGATGTTGTTGTTGGCAGTCGTATTGATCAGCTTCGCTGAGGCTACTTCTGAACCTACTACTAAAGAAATTCGGCTACAGAAACTAAAACGTTTCTGGTATAACCACCTGTAAGTGAAATACAATTGATATTCGTATATTGAATATTTGAGTAAAATATGTAGTAAGCAACAAATTAAGTTGTTTTGCACTAATTTTTCATTGTTAGTGTACAAACTATTCCTTTGACGTAGCTAGATTTATAGATCATTCAAGTTTTGTATATAATTTTCAATCACCATTTTAATTTCCCTTTTTACTAGAAAATGGAGAAGAAAGTGGATGCAGCAAAATCCTGCTCCAAAAGACAGTTTGGACGAAATTTTGACAACGTTCGACGAAGACAGTGATGAGTTGGCATACCAAGACACCATGGCCGAAAAATTGCAAAAAGTATTCGAAGACATTTACGAATGAAATGAAATCACAACAGACACCCAAGTTTCATAACCACAGTTTGAAATTATAAATTATTCTGTTCAACCAACAATAAAACATGGGAAAATCACAGTTTTCAATAGTGTTTCAGTTTAGATGTCTCAATGAAATTTTCGATAAATTTCCATTATGTTTATGACACTATAATTACTTATTATGACAAACGATCTCTCTCATTTTTCATTTTGTAATATTCGGCAAAAATAAAATTGAACTTCAGAGGAATTATAGTTGAAATAAGTTTTCATCAACCAGAATAGTTAGTAGTTTTTTTTATACACGTTTATTCACGCTTTTTGTTCGGAACAATTCCCTATACACGCAGTCGCTTATATCCAACCATATGTGAAGAGCTAAATATTATTTGGAAAGACTGGAATCTGTCCGCTGTCATACCGTGACTGGAAATGATATAAAGCAGGGTGTCATCGTTTCCCACGTTATTTTAATGTTCCTGGAAAGCAGAAAATAGACTCTATCCAAAAACACTCAAGTATGTAATAATGAAACCTGTCGTGGCGATGATACAAAAAGTAAAAATGAAACTGGTTAAAAAAAAACTGCATCTTTACTTTTCCAGACCTACGATAATATAATATTTTAGAATTTATAATATTTCTGTTCACGTTTCTGTATATAACATTAAGTTAGTTTAGGCTAGGGAAAGATAAGCGCGTCGTAAAAATGTTAGTCATGGACTAACACAATGTCACACGGAAGCAGTGGCACCTTTTTTCACGAGACTACTTTGTAGAAGTATGAAGGGTATGCAAATGATGCGCTCCCTTTCCCCACAATATGCCAGAGTTGGATGTCAGCACCATGTGAATCAAATGACTAGTAAGGTTTTCAATCCGAGATAATTGTACATCGATGGCATCCAACGTATTTTGGATCCTCAGTTAAAATTTATTAATGCTCTGTTTCAAACGTGTGTGGAACGTGGAAATATTCAGTTTTTACAAAGTGACTCATAACTCCCAAAATACAATAGTGCTATTTCAAAATTGTCTGGTTCAATCCTTGTTCATATATAGAAAGATAATTTCGGCTAAGTGTATTTATATTTGCCATAAATGTTCTCTGTTTGGCTCTGGTCATAAACATGCTAGTCATAATCATCATTGTCTTTTAAAAATCATAACCTTAAGAGTATGAAACAACAAGAAGAGACCTATTTTCTTCTGTTGTTAAATTTGAACAAAGGCTGTTTTATATAGTGTAGCACATGTCCGGTATTGCTATTGATCCTAAGGGCTGAAAAGATGTTTCAAACATTTAGCCTAAATATCAACGATTACGTAGGTCGTAGACTAGGGGTCGGCAACCTTTTGTCGCTCGCGGGCCAAAATAAGGGTTGCAAGTCATTGGCGGGACGCACATATTTTTAGAAAGATGAAACCGAACAGATGGTACTTTTTATAATAAAAATCAAGCAGTGATACATCTCTCGAATAGAATATAAATTTATTTCCTCATTGCATCTCATAAAATCCCATTTGAATATTTTCAGCGCCATCGAACCCTTTGCACTTAGCATCAACTTTTCTGCGTTTTGTTGCCATTTGCTTAATTATCATTAAATTATATGCTCATTGAACAAGTAATTGTGAATTATATAATTGTTAGGTTATAATATAATTTAGTCTAAAGAATATATTCGTCAAACGGATGTTTCGTTACTATAATTTAGTGAAGCGTCGCGGGCCGGATTATAGTGCCGGATTATAGTCGGCCGTAGGTTGCCGACCCCTGTCGTAGACTGTAGATCGTATTTTTCCTATATGAGTAAGATCCAACCCTAATTCATAAATTAAAAAAATAAATAAATTCAGATGCGTTAGTATATAAATGCGACTGAAACTCAACTTTAAATCCAGAATCACGTAACACCCTATTTTACGATATTGTAGCCGACATCTCATTATTTTCATCGAATAATAAATAGCTAGAATATCACAATACTACACAATTTAAACATTTTAGTAATATTATTATTTTTTCAAGAATTCTGTGGTTGGACAATACATCTCTTCTCATCCAATAGATTTCAAATTTTCAGTACATGAAAAAGGGGCTCTAGAAGGTAATAATCCCTTTTTTCATTCAATTCGAGATCTATGGGTTCTACATTTCCCCTTACCCTTCAGTCGTTTTTCTACCACGTGACATTGCGTCAGACTAACCCGCCATACATTCAAAAACCGATGCTATGCCAAAGGTACCAACGCATACTAAACAAAAACAATAATAAATGTAAAACATCAAACGCAGTTCACTTTTAACAACTTGTATAAAAATTGTAAATTGCCATCCCATAATTCTGAGCATATACAATAGAATACTGCATAAAAAATTGAACAAATTTACATCCAGCTAATTTTACGAAACCTAATATTAACCTCATTACTGAAATTTGCTGCACGATAAATTCCACCCATGGCATAAACTCTGTGCAATAGTCGCGACCTTCAAACAAAACAAAACCAGGGAAGTTATCGGGGTCAGACGAGGAAGCAATTGTGGGTACGCGATGCTCAATATCTAGTTGTTGACAATTGAATGAAGGTTATGACTGATGTCTCTTATTGTTCCAGGCTGGTGTTTAAGGTGAAAACAATTATGAAGAATAGAGTGTTTGTGCAAGTGCGTTTTAAAAACGTGTTAGCTTACAATATATTGTTTAATATATTAGATCATGTATTCTCATTTAATAGATCAGGAAATTGATTAAACCACCTAAACACTTGCACTTCATTGTTCGATTCTATAGATGTAACAAAATTACAAATGCTATAAAGAAAGTGTCGTTAACCCATTGATATAGATGAAATATGCGTTTAAAAAGCGTGACGGGTGGAAATTGAGCTCATTTTAAAATCAGTCCTGTTCACAACGCACAGATATTGTGTAACCGTGTGTAAAACCTGGTAGCATGTTTCGACTGAAGACGTCAATTATTCTTTTATTGGTTCTTTTAATGGTTATGGATTCTTTGGAATGGAGAAGGAGAAGAAGAAGGAGGAGAAGGCACAATGGCGCGAAAAAAATGTATGCGTTCTTTATATATGTTAAAATTGTTGATTGCTCGCTGGTCCATTTGCTTTATTTCATCGTGTTTATTTGCTAACCATAGAGAGTATTTTGAAAAAATAATGCAGTTATAAACACAGTAGGATACAAGTCAAACTTGCTAAATGACCATGAACAAAGGAAAATATTATGCAACATCATATTACAACTGGGCTGCAATTTCTGACACCAGCTATTAAATGATCACTATCTAGAGATCTTTACATGATATTGACATGTAATTTGACTAATTTGGTGTTCTCGACTTGGTTATATAAACACGCATTTATGCAGGTAAATCAAAAGTAGTTGTTATGCAGGTTGTTATTCTATTTTGCCCTACTAAAGACTTAATGATATCCACGCACTCGTTTTGCGATGCTCTAACACAGGGGTTCTCAAACTTTTTGTGTTGCGGAGCCCTTGAAAAAGTTGACTATTATTCACGGAGCCCCAAAATAAATGTTAAAATTGTTACTTTCCGAATAATATTCCTGAATAAGTCAAAAGTACTGTACTTATTTTAAATGCTTAACCTCTTTTAATAGGGTTAATACAAGTCATAAATGAATCAAAATGTAAAAGATGAATTATATATACTAAAGCTGTAAACTTGATACTTGACAAACATATTAATAAATTAGGGGTCGGATCTTTTACCTTTAGATATTTTTGAAAGACTTAAAAGGCCGCTAATAACGTACTCGATTGCATTTTGTTACGATCGCCGATTGTTTTCGTCAGCATGGCGGTGTTTATTCTCCCTAAATCAAAAATTTTCCTCGACATATACATGTATGATGTATTGTTCCACAATGACGACGAGTATTGCTTTTTTGTTCTCGTGGGGAATTATGAGTTCAATGTGAAAAACATGTTACCATATTATAGTCACCGGAGACGAAATGCTAAAAATAATAAATAATAAAAGGTAAATCCGCAACTCAAATTTCTTGATTGAAAAGCGGCATACTGAAATATTAAAACTAAAACTTAAAATGGGAGATAACACTATAAGTTTTGTTTCAGCAGACTCACGTCAGATTAAAAACACGTTCATAGACATTGTGAATCAAAAATTTGGTGTTATGTTGGGTTTTCTTTGGTTATTCGTCGTAGTAACTGCGAAACCGAAACATAGTCAATTGTGCGCGCGATGTACCTATTTTTCCATTCTGAAACTACCGACGGAGCCGCATGCAATGAAATAAATTTCAATCTTTCGTATTTTGCCCCGACCTCTTGTTTTTTAAACGGCGACATCTTGCTCGTGAGTGCGAAAGAACAAAATCAAGCTTGAGAAATCCCAAGATCGCAAAAATACGACTGCAATTTATTTATAGTTGGCAGTTTTTCGCGTATTTTATGTTATTTCAGAATAGTAGTCTTTCATTTCAGTAATCCTAATAGTAAAATTAGCCAATTCAGTATTTTAAAAAGTAATCGAATAGCTCGCGGAGCCCCTGGGTTTCTCTCACGGAGCCCTGGGGCTCCGTGCGGAGCACTTTGAGAACCTATTCTCTAACAGTCTAACATATATTTTTCTTTCATAGAATACGTCATCGCGCTCGTCGACGAGGCTGGTGGAGGCGGCTATGGTTGTGGGATACTCAACAATCTGAAGAAAAAGTAATTTACTAATTAATATGAATCATTTTGGTATGCTCCAAAGACAATATTTTTGAGATAAAGTGTTGTTTTAATATATGATTTTTGCAGAAAACTTCAGCTAAGATCAGTGATCAATTAGATGAAGACACGCTGCGGGACTTGGAACTGCTTGGAGAAAGTAATATACAAAATATTATATTTTTATGATTCAGGTTTTTCTTACTCCCCCCACCACAATTTTGATAAAAGCTCTCAGTAAATGGAGAAATGCAATCATTATGTGTAAATAATCATGATGCAAATAAGCGGTTCTAACAATATTTTACTATGGTTAATACTAAGATTTTTATCCTGGTATTAAATCGCAGTAAAATTATTTTTACAGCTGAGATGAACCTATCTGGATCACCGCGCAGCGATGTGACCAAATAAAGATGATTGATGAAAGCAAAATATCCTCACCCTACTTATCTATATACATGCAAGTTTTACACATGTAATCATATATAATTTTATAGTCATCATATCAAG